TGAAGAGGTTGAAACAGCTGATTTCTCTCACATTCTCTGTTAACATTATTCATCTCTGTGGTTTTGGGCTCCTGCTAAATGAACCGGATACTCCTACCCAGTGTTCTCCCACTTCACTGTGTTCACCGCAGATTGCATGATTCACCAGAGGAAGTCAATGGAATAGTTCATGGCTTTAACAATAGGGTCAAGTGTATTGAGTTTATGAATGCAGTCTCTGAGCTATTTGGCATAATGTCCTCCTTCAGGTGAGAAAGGAGAACCTGGTGAAAAAGGAGAGCGAGGAGAAGCTGGTCCACCTGGAGAGAAGGGACAACCATCCAATGATGTCATTATTGAGGGCAAGTAGAGCTTTACACTCATGATATGGTGTCGCTTAAACCATTTTGATTTGCAAAAAAAGTCTTTCAATATAAGAATAAACCTTATTTTGTACATCAAGAGGGTTTACAATTCGTTCTCTATTCTTTGTACAGGCCCTCCTGGTCCTCCAGGTCCTCCTGGTCCCCCAGGACCTCCTGGTCCTCAGGGGCCTCCCAGAACAAGGCACCACAGAGCCAACCTTCAGGCTGCTCATACCCTGGGTAAGAGGCCTTTGTTGACCTTATCAAATGGATTTGAAATTGAAATTTGAAGGTTTACTGTAACTACAATTCCATTAAAACTGGGCAACTCCATCTGCTGAGGAAGACTGTGTAACATGATCGAAAGTTCCAGAGCACCTACCACATGGACTCTGTGAGATTGCTTTGTCAAGCGCACACCATGTGTAAACACTGTGAATAACGTAAAATGACTTTGTTTGTAACAGGGCTGTTACACGCAATTCCAAATGATGAGACCTCATCTGTAAAGGAGGCTGTGAAGCTACACGGGAAACCTGTTAAGAAGAACGGTGCGTGTTCAAAGAACTGTTTCTACATGTATGATATGTGCTCTGTGGTAGAGATGTGAGCATCTAAGCTTGTTTTGTTTCCCCTCAGAGTGCCTGATTAAGTCTCTGATCAACCCCAGGAATGTGTCAAAGATGGAGAGCACATTTGGCACGTGGATGAAAGACACTGCTCAGCTGAATGATGAGCGAATCTGGGTGGCGGAACACTTTTCTGGTAGGTTGGATGCAGAGGACCATCGAAGCAATGCAGAGATGAGAAACTGTGGGATCTCTGATAATGAGCTCAAGCAGTGAACATTTTGCTTGCTCTTCCCCAGGTCGTGTGGTGAAGGAGTATAAAAGCATCGCCTCCTTCCAGAACAGCAGCAGCGACACTGTGGATGTTAGAAAGTTCTACCAGGGCTGCGGCCACACTGTTCACAACGGTTCCTTCTATTATCACATCGCCGGTACTTCCAGCATTGCCAGGTGAGGCGACATTTCATTGAATCTGTTTCAACTATTTGCACTATTGCTTGGTTTGGATATCTAAACCTGTCCAAAGAGAATACACTTGGATGTTTTGTCAACATTGACAGTAGGATTTCGGGGAGAAGTCCGGCCAAGCTCTTCAACATTTACAACTGGCCACCAGGTCCTTAGCAGCAGTAATGCTTTATTGGACTGCCAGGACCATCCACCCCTGGATGAGTTTAAACTTCAGCCCCCTGTACGTCCACAAGATGACCAAGAGATTTCACGTCTCCTTCATCCCAATTGCGACTGATATGCTTAATAGCGAGTAGATCTCTGGCTGTATCCCTTGCAGTTCTTTTGCAAACTTTGTACGTGTTATATTACTTGGTGTGCTCTAGCTCTGGTGATTTTTTGTGTTGATGTGTTGTTGATGTTTTCCATTTGTAGTTGCAAAACAAATTTGCCCATGGGGGGGACAATAACCTTGAACCTTGCTATCATATCCATTTGTTCTGCTCCACTTCATTAACAACTTGCTGCTTGTTTGTTCACAGATTTGACTTCACCACCAAGAGGCTTCACACTCTTACCATAGAAAATGCTCTGTACCACAATCTCGCCTACCTGCTCCACAACTCCAAGACCTACTTCAAACTGGCAGCAGACGAGAACGGCTTGTGGCTGATCTTTGCCTCCAGCATAGATGAAAGCATCACGGTGGCCCAGCTGGACCAGAAGACCTTCTCCGTCACTTCCTACATAAACACCACCTACCCCCGCACCAAGGCTGGCAACGCCTTCATCGCCTGCGGCGTCCTGTACGTCACCGACACCAAAGACACCAGAGTCACCTTTGCTTTTGACCTGCTGAAGGGAAAGCCGGTGAACGTGACCTTTGACTTGAGGTCTCCAGGCGGAGTGCTGGCGATGCTCTCCTACAGCCCGAAGGACAGACACCTGTATGTGTGGGACCATGGCTACGTTAAGCTCTACGTGGTCCACTTCATCTCAGACGAGTGAAAAACACACCATCTGAACACGACAGACAACATGCAGGCGTGACTGTTACGTAGTGAGAGCCAAATGCCTGCTGACTGCCAACTACTCGCTCCATCTTTGGAAATGATCAAATTTAGGTTTTCGAGACAGATGTACACTAGGCTTGGGCTGTATCATGGTATTATTGTATTCTGGGGAATTTAAAAATCCAGACATGATTTTCAAATCCATCAAAAATACAGACGCTCTTCTTACTATTAAACTGATACGGAGATGCTGTATTGAGGCGATGTATTGTAGTGCACAGCAAGCACCACCAGAGGTCAGTCTCTACTGGTGGAACAGGCAGTCGAGCTGAGAATGATGGTGACAGTGAATGGAAGGGATAACGTTACAGGACTAGTAAGAAAGAAAAATTGCCTCTGCCCTTGTTTGGGAGTATTGCCACATATAACTTTACCTTGAAATGACTCCCCCCAACTAAAAAAAACAGTTTCTTAGACACATGATGTTATCTAACACATCATCTCTGTTCAGCCCATTGACGTGTGTCATCAAGTCCGTCAGCAAGAAGGGCGCTAGTTTCCTATTTATTCATTGTTCTACGGGTCGTCAATATTTAAGCCAAGCAAGACGTGTTTAAGTGGGCTACTTGCGTATTAGACACACAACATTGTAGGCTAAACAACGGCTAATGACTCAGTTTAAATGCACAAAATATTCCTGTTTTTCTGAAAATGAATATTCCACTAATATTCATATTTACATGCAGCTGTGCATTCTCTGATTAAAGTGCCCTAACGTGTCGATTATCACATTAAAATACAGGAAAGTGGAACAGCTGGAGCTGCTTGTCATTTTGCTTCCTTGCATCAAAATAGGATTTCTTCAAAGTTTTTGAACGTGACCATGCGAACACTGCCTCTCTTTTTCATTCCTTCAGCCACCTTCTTGAAAAGGTCAGCACTGCAGTATTTGCGTATATTCGAAAATCTGTTGATATCAAAGTCTTTCATAATGTCAAAAAGTAGGTGTTTTTCTCCTTCTACAAAGAAATGTTGGCTTTTCCCCTGAAGAAATATTATCATATTTTTTGGAAAAATGAAACAGTGATTCCAGAGAGAAGCAGACAGAGGGGTCTACAGTCTGTGTTTGAAGGATATATCCAGGATGTCAAACTGACTCAGCAGCAACAACAGGTTAAAAAGACAAAGATAGTTAGAATCTAAAGCCGAACTGTAGGCTACAGATCACAGTGTAAAAGTGAATCACCACATCACTGCTGATCGCCACACAAGACACTGAATAAAAAAGGGAAACTTTGCTGATATTGAACCAGCTGTGTGGCATCACAGTGTGTGCAGATGAGCGGTGTTTGGCTTCGCCCCCATTACAGGATCTCTGGGGGAAGTCAAACAATGTTCATCTGTGCACACTGCGATGACACAGCTGGTTGAATATCAGCAAAGTTCCCCTGCTTCCCTTCACTGGTTCCTGTACAGCAGGGTCGGCTTTTTTTTCACTGTTATAATCATTAAAAAGCAAAAGCAGCATGTGTATACATTCAGTAGGCTATATCTTCAGTAGCTAGCTAACCCTACACTTTTCAGGGTTGGATTTTGGTTTTGGAACAGGGAAGAAACGTATATCTTTTTCCAACCTCTCCAGGTAACGAGTATCATTAATACACGACGTGCCCCAGGCACAACATTTAGCTCCAAATCCACAAAACCAGCCTAAAAATGAAGGAAATCGGAAACAACTGCATTAGAGTCAATGGAGCACAGCTGTGTTGTTGTCAGACCCTGGTCTGATTCTACACTATGATTGGTCAGTCTGTGTCTGGCGGCGGGACTTAGCTAAGGGTCCATTGAGACATATATTCTAAACACGCTCTTTACATGGCCAAATGATGCTATTAACACCTGATTAATACCGTCATATGTCACGTTTTAATTGGGAAATGCTAATGCAGACATCTAAACTGAATATGTTGTTTATATGACCAACATAAAATTCAGAATATCGTCATACTTTGAATAATAGTAGAATATTAGTGTGCATGCTAACTAACCCATTGACATACATGCTACAATGACTTCCATTACCAGTAGCTCAACTTCTAAGTTTTTCTTTTCTTTGTTTTATTTTTTTATTTTTTTATTTTTTTTACACAAATACGTCAAAATGTCAGGACTGTATGAAGATATGAAAAAATACATATCGCTTAAGCCTAATGTACACATCAGTCTCAACTTTTTCTTCCTGTAGAGAGTTCCTGTCAGTACTAAGATGTCACTGAAGGAAATTATTCTTGTGATATTGTCAAAAATAAATACTGCTGTTTTTATTTCCTATCTGCAATGTATATGTGAGATTTTGGAGTTACTAACAGTGTGAAAACTTTTTAGCATTTTGTATCGAACAGTTCATAATTTATACAGATTGAATTTATAACTTTTGTGTCCCTCTGTGTTGTAAGTTATTTAGTGTTTTTGCATGACCATTATCTTTTATGTATTTTGTTGTATCCTCTTATATTCTGTACATGCACACAGTCCGCCTGCCTCTGTAACGCAGCAGCACGGTCCCCACTGACTGCTTATTCCTCCTGACAGAAAAATTACAAACAAACAACAGCGCCAAATCACCCTGATGAAATAAAAAGAATTTATTCACTTTACAAAGGTAAAACTCTGACCATGACCTGTTCTCTCACACACCTCCAGGCTCAAGTGCCCTAGTAAGCGTCTACCCATGATATTGGCTTCTTTTGCATTATTACATGCACACACACATACACACCAGACACCAGTAGGACCATTGGTAAAACACTTAAGCTACATACATTACACATAGTGGGCAGAAAGAGGGAGAGAAACACAATCTCTTTAATAAATACCATACATACACTTAACAAAAGTTACAACTAATCCAGCTGGTATGATACAAACCAAAAAATAAAGAAATGCTTTCATGTTTTTACAAGCTGTTGTGGTATTTCATATATATATATATATATTTATATAATTTATATATTAAAACTATTTCAAACATTTTACTACTAGGCCAAATAAAGCCAGACATTCATTTGTATATAACAGTTTCTTCTTTGATATCCTATTTATTTGAAATAAACTTTTAGTGTCTCCAGAATTTGAGTGCAAATATCTATTCCTTATGGATGAAACAGTAAAAACAACTAGCGAGGTAACACACACTTACATACAGTAGACTGTGTTGCACATCTCCCAGTCAGATACAGTAAAACCCCTTACATTCCTAAAATAAAAGGCAATAAGTTAAATAGGAATGGTCAACCAAACAAACATATAAATAATTTAAATAATACAATAAAATTAATTTAAAAAAAAAAAAATCAAGAATATCTTGTGCAAAACCAGAAGTGAACCTTTGTGTTTCTGCTCTGGGTGGGTGGGCATTTGGGTTCGGACCAGACAGATGGAAACATTGAAATCACAGTCACAGGAGTAAAACACATCATCTTCCAAACAGGAATGTTCTAGCAGTGAGTCGGCCACACAAACAGGCATTTGAGGGCAGGTGGGCGGGCAGGCATACAGATGACAGACACAGCAGAGTGAACACACACGCTCAAGGACCTCACCGAGCCGGGTCGAACCCAAACCAGGAGAGGCCAGAGTGAGTGACGGGCAGCCAGTGAGAGGAGAGTGAGGGTGCATGGAGGTTGGGGTTTGGGGGGTGGTGTCACTACAGCAGCGATGCACCATTGACTCTTCCATGGGGGCTGAGGGCTGAGAGAAGCCGGGCAAAAGGCAGGTGGCTGGGCAGGGGGGCAAAACCATTGAAACAAAATGCAGATTCCAACAACTCGATTCACACTGGAAACCACTGACTTAATAACAAACCACAGTGCTGGTTACAGTAGATGCTAAGAGATTTCAGCTGTGGGCACAAAATGACGACAGTTACACACTTTTAAAATTTTTGCTTGAGCACTTTTACAGAGCACTATCAATAGACCTGTGATTGCACCGCGTAACGAGAACAGGACATGCATAGCTTCCCTATGGACACACTCTAAGAGTAGAGATTCTTCAATAAAATTACAATAAAACTAGCTTTAAAATCAAGTATGATACCTTTTGCTTGTAACTTTGCCTTCAGCCTTTGGGGAAAAAAAAATATTTGCAGCTCCGTTTTCCATTGTGGATATGATTTACATCGACAGTAAACCCATGAACACTGCACACTCTGTAAGATGCCAAAAGCATGGTGACCTTTTGACTAACTCTTCCCCCATCAATTATTCTATTAATGCCTAGCGAGTGTTACGTAAGCTTTTTGTGGTTTTTTTTTTCTTCCTGTCTCTTTCCTCTTTGGACCCTCAGAAGTGGAAGTAGGCGTTACAGGATTTCGACCAAGCTGCTGGGGATATTGTAGCGGTCGGGGAGGACCCTCATCTTCAGGGTGCCGTCTGCTCCGCAGGTGAAGATGCGGTTGCCTGGCCGCGTCTCCACCTGCATGACGCCGGCGCCGATGTTTCGGAAGATTGACTGCTTGGCATGTTCAGTGCTAAAAGAGTGCATGAGGCCGTGACCACTTAACTTCCACACCTGGAGACAGAGAGAGCAGAGAGAGAGAGAGAGAATGGGACAGGTGTTAAGATTCTTTTCTTCCTTTTGCAAACCAGCCTGCTGGTCTTCATCGTTTTTATTATGCAGAGCATGCCACTCTGATTGTCATGTGCCAAATTTAATTACAGTGCTGTGACACTTTCTCAAAGTGGTTTGTTCTTTGTTAAACAGCATCAAATTAATAACCGCTGATTTCAAAGCTGACAAATGTCCATAACCTGCATGACATCATTAGTATTAAGAATCTAACAAAGGCTAATGGCTCATTTAGATTCCTATTAGGACACTGACAGAGCTTTCTTTCCGTACTCTGCGATGACATCGTCTATATATTGACACATGGACAAAACTGAGCAGTACCACTGGAGATCGAGGGGGTAGTGTAGAATAGGTCAAACATATGACCTACGACCGTAGGACATGACAAAGACAATTTAAAAATGGCTGAATGGAAAGAGCGGTATTTTCTCGAGTAGGTCTGTACCTAGAATAAGACATTAATCCTGAGTACACAATCACAGTATGACTGCAAATTTGTGAGTGAGTGATGGAGCAGTGTGTCACCTTCATGTTGCCCTCTGCAGAGCCGGTGACGAAGAAGTCCTCGAAGGCATCCAGTGCGAGGGCCTTGATGGCTGAGTCATGGGCCTGGAAAGTGTGGAGCAGCTGCCTCTGGCGGATGTCAAACACGCACACAAAGCCCTTTCTGCCTCCAGTGATGAGCAGCTGCTGTTTCGCAGCATACTGCAGCACAGTGGCCCCGTTCTCATGGCAGGGGAACGCTGAAGGGGTGGGCGGGAAGAAATGTGCAATTGGGTCACAAAACAAATTAGAGTACAGGGAAAATCATTATATATCAGGCTGGGTGAAGGATTTGGGATATCTTACCATGGACCATGGTATTGCTAGGTGAAATCAGAGTATCCCACAGGCAAACATTTCTGTGGACAAAGTAAACCAAGGATAACATTAGTCAGCTGACACTGACAGAGACATATTAGTGTTGGCCTGATAGAGGTGTTCTTCAGTACAGATGCTGACCTGTTGTCATTGGACTGTCCTGCTGTGGCGATGAGGCTTGAGGATGTGATGAAGGCAAAATCACCGCAGGTCTTAGTGTGGCACTGCCAACTCTATCAGCAGGAACGGCACAAGAAAACAAACAATACGTGTCAATTTTAATGACTTGTGTTTTGTTTTTGACTAAAGATGTGCATGTGTGTGTTGGAGTGGTGATTGAGGAGGTGAGGGAGGTGGGAAGGAACCTCACCAGGTAGGGTTTGGGGTTGGAGGACGTCTGATTGACTTGCCAGAGACTGAGGAAGCCCTCTCCGTCAGCAACTCCACACTACAAGAGGAGAGCAGAGCAATCAAAACAATCACACTGAATAGACAAAACACAGACACCGCGGTTTGTGTATGTGTACGAGAGTGTGTACCTTATTGCCCTGGGAGTTGAAGTAAAGCCGGGTGACTCTGGCATTGCCTGCTTGTCTGAAGCAAATAAGCTGCTGAGGTCTGTTCCATTCAAACATTCTCACACTCCCGTCCTGAGCCCCTGTCATGTCTAAAGCACACACACACACACACACACACACACACGCACGCACACAGAAAGAGAATTAGGACAAAGACAGGGCGAGGAGAAGGGAGATAGGGAGAAATTAACCAAAAGAAATCAAAATTAAAATGTATAATAATGATGACCTCCTGTGCACACGCTCCAGTGTAGCCACTTACAATACTGATATATGGGATGGGATGTCATTCGCTTCACATTGTTTAGATTCCTCTTCATTATCTGAAAAACAATAAAGACATCAATCTAGATTGTGAAGCACAATGTGTGCAAGATGAATTATAGTTTTTAGTTGAAAAAAAACTTTTATTTGTGTTCTGTCGGCTTATTATTCAGCATGACAAATACAATTGTCTCTTGAATGCCTGCTGTTTATGGTCTGGCACCTGGTCGCTACCTTTTTATAAAGCCCCGACCTCACCTGAGCGCTGTGGTGGAACACGCCCATAAACATCCCGAACACAGATAATAAAATAACACAGGCAGAAGGCTGAGTCCCAGGAGAAATATATACAGCCACACACACACGTGATGATTGAGAGGGATTAACTCTGCACGAGGCTTTACATTGTTTTTTAGGAAAATCCTACACAGTAACTGAGGCAGACAAAAACTGCAGGATGTTCCCATAAATATTTGATGCAACTGAGTTTTCAATGTCAACAATATTTACTGTTGTATCAATATTTCTGTTATGATTTACCAATCTAATTTGTTATTATACTTACATTTATCTGTCAGGAGAAATAAACAATGTCTTACTCGGGTGTCTAATGGTATCAGACACTTCAATTTAATGCTTCTTAGGATCTTTCAAGATAATGTGAGACAGATTTTTGGACAAATCATCTTCTTATATATATACCATGCAGAGGTAGGTTTTATATAGTAATACAATTTTTTAGAGTGAGTTAGGTTAATTTATATTTTGCCAACAGGTAAATGCAAATATAGAGTAAAAGGACAGTATTAGGTTCAGTGGTAGATTTGTAACATCAGAAATGTGGAATTTAATGCAGCTTGACTCATTCAGATTTAAGGCTTAATATTTATACAATTGAATTAAAGACATTTTAAGGCATTTTTAAGGACCTGCAGACACCCTGTTACTGTGCAGGTTCTTTACTGCTGAGCAATACAATGCTAGAGACTACAAGGCCATTAATCGGCTGCGATCTTAACTAACCAGCCGCCCCTGCACCCTTAAGAAAGCCCCTTCTGTAATCCACTGAACCTGTATGACACTCACTGTCCTGTCTTGCTCAATGTATCACACCCAGCATTTATCAACATGGCTGGGACATGGAGAACCCTGGCTGCATGTGAGCGTGACGCAAATCTGTACCTTGGGTTGCCGGCTGTGAGACCTGCTGCTATCTGTGTTTATATATGTCCATCTCTGCCGTGCAAACACACACACCCCCTCTCTGTATCAGCCTCCATAGACTCAGCAGGCCAGCTGTTTAGTCGACGTGGCTCAGTTTGCCTCGACATTGATAAGAATTAAAAATACAAACTTCTGCTCAAAATGTGCAGGGGGCATGTACTGTAGAATTAATTCAATTATAAAACAGAAGTTTGTCTCATGTTTACATTTTGGGTTAATAAGTCCTAAACTTTACTAATGCATCTGATGTATTTTACAAAATAAAAAGACTGGAGAGTGACAGCACGTTTCATGTCGTCTATGGGCTTAAAAACAGAATGTAGAGTCCCCCTACTGGCTAATACTAAGAACTGCATGCCCCTGACCAGCTGTGTTTGTGTGTATCTGTGTTCGTGCTGCAAAGACTCGTACCACGCTGGCTCCCATGCTCGTCTGCCCACTGCCGAGCCATGGCATCGATGCAGAGACTGGCATCTGTGGAGGTGCAAAGGGGACAGAGCTCGCCTGGGCGATGTTGGTATGAGAGGAACGATGGTCTATGTCGTCAGAGCTGTAAAACAAAATGTAACCTGTCACTGAGAATGTTCTGGAGAGGCATTTTAAACATGGATGATGCAGAAAGACTCAATCAGCTATGAACATACAAAACATTTAAGTCAGACAGCTCCTTCTAGGGTGTCTGTGAGACTCACCAAGTTACATTTTAGACTTTTTAACCTTCATTGAATAAAATTTTACTATCTGTTTTACAATAATAAATAGCACCATGCCAAATATTGATGCAGAAATAAAAACTTGAAATCATGATTGAAATTGTATCTTTAAAGACAGACAGTCTGAATCTAACCTGCGGGACTCCTTATCAAAGTCGTCCCCTATCCAGGTGTAGGGCTGGACAGACACCAGAGTAGACACGTCCACCTCCTGGACATCATGAGTGGACGCCAACACTATCTCGTTGGAGTTAGCCTGGAAAAGGAGGGAAGCAGGGAGGAGAGAGACATGGAGGGAGGAAAGGACAACATCAAAGGTGCACTTGGCAACAGGTTCCTCTAATTTTGCTAGAAAGGAACTGACATGTGTTTGTAAATTCAGAGGAAGACTCCTGGAAAGGATTATGTAATCTGGTCCTGTCTCAGGCCGCTGTCTCTATTTACCTTTTACTTGGTACAAGATGACATAGTGCTTTCCAGGACACACAATAATTAGGATATATGGACTCATAAGATAAAGTTTGCAGCACTTTTATCACACACACAACTTACCTTATTGATAGCAAATGCCATGATTATGTCAGACTCCTTATGAATGATTTTAGCTTTGCCTCCTGGGTAGCCCAGATCTGCCTCCACCTGGAAAAGCCAAGAAAACCAATACATCAAGTTTCAAGACACATTAAAGCTTCAGTAGGGAGCTCCGGGGCAACTGAGTGAAAATTTGAAATATGAATTTTTAGAGGCGAATCCTTCATAAACACTGTTTATGTCGAGTTCATTTCCTTTTATGAGGAATAGGGCAGTGAAAATATTAACTTCCAAATTACTTGCTTGGGGCCATCCAGTTGTATGATCACACAGTGCAGCAACTTTCACAAGGTAAATGTAAAGATACACAAATACTGACAGTTTTAACCACTGATTTGAGATTCCACGGTGACAACACCCTCCACAGTTTGCAAGCCTTTCACAGCCCTGACAGTGAGCATGCAAGTTAGTAGGCCTACTGTATGTGCCAACTCTCTTAAGGGGAGCTTTTTGTTTTTTACATTTGGGCCCAGCAGAATCAGTCCAGCTAGACGGGAGAAAGGAGTGAGAAACAGAAGGGGAAACGTGTTATTGGTAAGGATCAGATGTGAGGTTACGTGGGTGGATGCCTAGGTGTCCCGGTGAGAGGGGAAGATTAGATGTTAGATCTAAGCCTGAGAGCCTTGAGTAGATTTAATGCCAGAAAAATTGCCAGAGCAGTCACTATCAGGCCAAGCTGGGGAGGAGACATCAGGAGCTGCACCCAGTTTGGTGCTTCCTCTAAGTGTAACATGCAAACCCTATGCAACGAACACACAATACTTCTTTTAAAGTTTAAAGGAGCTGTATGCAACATTCAGAGCATATCTACGACTCATAGTCATAGTCTCGTACACAGCTCCTTTAACACACTTTCATCCTCTTTAAGCTTGGCTTTACAGTGACTCTCCCAAACAGACAGATGCACAGACAGAGCCAGGGCCTGGGCTGGTACAGTAAATGATACTACCTTATAGGGACTGCTAGCTCCTGCTATGCAGTTTGGGCTTATACGGTCCATATGGTTCTCTACAGACTACACAACACACACACACACACACAGAGGCAATACAAACACAGAACACACCATCACGGCACAACACAAAACACATGCACAAACACAGAAAAATAAAACATGGAATGAAAAGAAAATGTAAAAAGGTTGATAGGATCTTTGATGTAAATAACTCTAAACACAGTCCACGTCATAATCATGGAGCAACAGTCATGTAGCAGGATGAATGGACATATGAACTGTGGATCTGCAGTTTGATTTGAAGTCTTGTGGTTGCTCCACTTAACAAAGACTGAAATTAAAGTTGTAATATTAGGAAACTTAGCATCTGGGACCATAACCCACGGGACTTTTGTCTAAGTCTGTCATGAAAGTGATTACATAATAATGAACAGTTCCAGACATCACAGAAGGCAGTGAACTATCCTGTACTTGACTAAAGATATCTAAGGAGTCAAAGCAATGATAATGAGTATAACAAAAATATCCACAACAGAGATAAAAGCTCAGTCAGCACTTCTCTGTGTATTACAAGGAAGTGATGGATGGGGAAGACATCTTAAATCTTAAGAGTCTTGCAATGCAAAATATTGTGTGGATTATGTGTAGATTCAGCTTTCCATGCACATGGGTAATCTATTGTGGACATGCTGTGCAAAAACAATTAAAGTTAAATTAAAGTAAATAAAAAAGAAGAATAAATAACATAACCTTTTACAGTTCATATTACTTTGCTCTGTTTTTAGTCACATACTCAGTCACTGTCTTCTCACATGACATGTTGAAACTACATGTCTTAGCTGCATGACACTTTGACTATTATGTATCTCATTAATCACCATCATTAGAGCTGTCATGTGGCTATTAGGTGGTTATTATGGCCGACTTTGAGCTGCTTTTTTCAGCTGTTGCAAGTTCTCTTCATCTGTCGATCCTGACACCGTACTTTAGTGCGAGTAGCTTGAGTTAGTCAAGATATTTTTGTTTTACAGATCACTTTTAAACCTCTAGTATTCAAATGTGAGACAAAGCTACTTTTGAAGTAGTGAACAAAGTCTTATATTTGGGCCAATACAGTCACTGTGCTAGGGGAAGTGAACAAAAAAAGAAAAACAACAATGTAAAGTGCAAACACTCTGGTGTAAATATGAACTAACATGGATTGTTAAATATACTAATGGTGGGTTTGATCGTCATAGCTAATGAAGACTGAACTGAAAACAAACAGATATATTTAAATGCAAGCAGCCTACTGACCTCACTCTGCTTCCTTTTCTTGGTAAAGATGTAACGGATTAAAGTCTCCTGAAGCATTTCCTGTTTGACCAGGAAATGCCAAAGCCGTCGGGCTGGAAAGGACTGATGGTTCTTGGTCCTGAGGGGAAAAAAGGGCAAACATAAGTTGGTCACAAGTTGGTGCTTCCACTAAAGGGTCTTAAGTCAGTGGTTTAAATTACTAAATACTATGGCGGTGATGTTGTTTGGTATGCGTCCCTGACAAATTCAAATCTGAAAGGATGCAGTAAACTCACTATCAAACAGCTCAGGGGACGAGCTATTTTTTCCCCAGTAATGCTACACTGCCAACAACACATCTCAGAAATCCTAGAAACAGTGCGACTTCAGTAGTTTTGAAAGTATTTCTGTTGTCACAGAAACTAGAGTGAAACTAATGTTTTGGATGTTATTGTCATAGTGTTGGTGACGTGTCTGTGCTACTGTTCTGGTAGTTCTGCACAGATCTGACACCTGCTTGCCTGCCTGCTCTCTAAAGCTCTGTGGCGGTGATGTTGGCGTTGGAGCACAGAGGTCCCAAATTTAAAACCAATATTTCCTGTCAATTTCTTATCATCGTTGATAAGTAACTTAGTCATACTGTATATTGAGGGTCGCGGGGGTGCTGGAGCCTATCCCAGCTGACATCTGGCGAGAGGCAGGGTACACCCTGGACAGGTCGCCAGACTATCGCAGGGCTGACACATAGAGACAAACAACCATTCATGCTCACATTCACACCTATGGACAATTTAGAGTTACCAATTAACCTAGTCCCCAATCTGCATGTCTTTGGACTGTGGGAGGAAGTCAGAGGGCCCGGAGAGAACCCACGCTGACACGGGGAGAACATGCAAACTCCGCACAGAAGGGCTCCCACGCCCGGCAACCCTCTTGCTGTGAGGCGAGAGTGCTAACCACCACACCACCGTGCTGCCCCATACTGTATATTGGTATAATCTATTCTGAGGAAAAAGTAGATGTTGATGTAAAAATGCTTTTACTTACCCAGCCCCAGAGTGTGAGAGTGTGGCTAAATTTCAGCATACTGAATATGATTTAATACTTACTTGAAGGGTGTGTTGTCTGGCTCCAGCATGGCTTTGTGTCGGAGTATGGCAGGGCCACCCCCTGCACTGAGGTCAGTCGGGTAAGTGTTAATGTAGTTGGGAGGCGGGCCGTCAAATTTGTTCATTTTCTCCAGCAAAAGCTGCTCCCAGTTCTCTAAAGTCTTCAACACAGCGTTGCTGAGAGGTGAGGTGACTGGGAGGTCTGTGACACAAACACGCATAGATATACAGCATATATTATAAACAGGGAGCAGCGACAACAAAGAATAGTTTATGTGTGTATATCTATGCAAATTATACTAAAATATTTCAGTCTATCTTACTGCATATTTGTTTTAAGGATCTGTTTAGTATCAATGCCAGGGTGAGTGTGTACCTGTGAAGTCGAGGCCAGTGAGAGGGAGGAAGTTCTTGACATTGTGATGAGCCAGTTTCACCATGACCAGGCGGATCAGAGCCCAGCTACGCACCACACAGACAGACATGAAGCAAGTTTAAAATCCGAAGCAAAAACTCCAAATTAGGCGGCGGAAATAACATCAAGAGGGTAAGCCCTACCTGTAGGAGTTAGGGTCAGAGTGCTCTGTTATCTGAGTGTCAGAAAGGAAAGCGTCATCGTCGTCTTCATCATCCTCTGCGCCGCTTTCGTCTGAGTCACACAGAGCATTGCTGTCTGACAGCGGCAGGAAGGGCTGAGAGGGAGGAAGTTATGATGGACGAGAAAAAGTAAAATGAAAAAGGCAGAAGGGGGGAGAGAGAGATTGAGGAATAACTTTTTAATAACCCGAGGATTATGAATCACTGATCTCATTAGTCGATCCCACATATGAGGAGTTATATGTCTTACTTTGGCCACAAAGTAATCCCACATGCTCAGCTCCGGGGGAATGAACTTCTCCCTGTATGTGGGTCTCTCTGTGGGCACAGGAGGTGGGGTGGCTGGCGTCTCCTTTACAGGGCGTCCAGGAACGAGCATTCTCATGTTGAACCTACGTCTGTATCGATCCACGTCCTCCGCTGGAGGCTGAGGGGGAGCCACTGGAGGGAGGAGAAAAAGAAGAGTTAGTAGCTTTCAAAAACAATGAACTCTGATGCGGTCAATTTGCAGCAGACTGCAGTAGGCTGCTGTTTTGTACAAATGATGAGACTCAGCGTCATTTTAAAGCCAAAAGAAGGTCAAGAAAAAGATCAGAGGGAAGCAAACTGCGGCCACACTCCACACAGAGCACAGCATACCCTACATCCACGATTGTTAACTATTACAATTAACCTTAATGCTGCCTAAAATGCAGTTCCTGTCTATAACCTTAAGCTCTATGACTTCGATGAGTCATAGCACACAAGGGAGAATCGATACACTTGGAAAAGAAAGATACAAATGCACACAATACAAATGTTCAGGATGGAAACACAGGGCAAGACACACTGGGCTGCGCACAAACCTGCCCCATTATCCTGGGTGACTATCTCTGGCATCACACCAGACAAAACAAGACAAGACACAAACCAGAGTAGACAGTGCAGTTAGACACACAGATACTACACAGACCATTACATAATTGAATCAGTGTATATTTGATGTAGTGCGTGGCACAAAGTACACACAGAAAACACATCAAACAATGGCAAATTTGTTGAGCAGTGATGGGTTAAGCTTTTTTTTACGTATCCACAGCACTTGAGGGAGGCAAACACGATGAGTTGGTGACTGTAACATGTTTATTTTGTTTTTAAAATGTGTGTTAATCGGAACATGATAGAGAAGCGTTGATGTGTAACATTTGTATATGGCTGTGCATTTGAGACATGCATGTATCTTTGCAGGGGCACTCAAAAGGGCAGTTTTTTTCTAACTGATTCCTGTCAACAGGCTGGCATTTACGATCCCCCTACCCAGCTCTTCAAAAGGCTCTTGGCTGTGCTGAGAGCTATCTCAGACTCTACAGTGATATTGAGTCTAAATGCCAGCCCATATCTTCCTCCCCCACAAACACAATGTGAGCACAGATTACTTTGGCCTAATGAATATGAATGAACAGTGTCAAGTTCAGTCAACAGACTTATACGGCACAGCTACTGAGGAAATGGCTTCATTTGTACAAATCTAAAAAAGCTGATGCAGACTAACAGCTGAATCAAGTCACACAAGAGCTACAGTCAATCTATGAGGTTGTTAGTACCTCGACTACAAACTACTGATATACAGTGCAGCCTGACTTATGGTAGGGCGCGCCACACTTTTTATAAGTGTCGCTTGACAGAAATTAAACAGTTGCACACCGTTTTTATGTTTCAGCATGATAACCAGAAACCTCCTTTATGGTCCAGGTTAATTTCTGTCATGTTTAGTGAAGCATAATCTGCATAAACAGCTGTTTAAATCACACAAATATCCCGCTTTATATGTTCTTTTAACTTCACCATACCAGTCTGTCTGTGAGCAGCAGATTCCCCTCACTCACTACACTGAGGTGAGAAATAAAATTAATGAATCAAGAAGTACAAACACTGTTGATGTCTTCCTGTGGCGCTGGCAAGGAAAATATTTTTTGTCTGCTGTCAGTCAGCCTGGTGAAGGCAGTTTGGCCCGCAACTGGCCTCTTAAATCCACAGGAGCTGCTGCTGACAGACAGCAGAGTCTGTGTGGCGTGAAAACTACCATCTACACGACAGCGCTAATAAAACTGCCTAATCACATTGTGCTACAAAATATGATGTGTCTGCAACATAACAAAATTCTCCAGTTGTGTGCGACACGAAAGGAAAGTCAAGCGACACTTTTTCTGCTAGAAATCATTTCTGCTGAGTGACAAACATCTCGAGCGCCCAGCCATAAATCAAGTTCACCTCTGGTCCATTCACATTCTTAACTGTCTTTTTACACATTAAATGCTACAAAAGGGACAAAACAGAAGTAGCTGTGCACTTCCAGCTCTACAGTAGTATTCACTGTCTCAAGGTGTACCTGGTTTAGTCTCAGATTCAGAATTAGTCTGAGAGGGCTGCTCAGCCTTGGCCTCTGAACACTCCTTGCTAGGCCCAGCTGTTGCTTCAGTCGCACAATAGGAATGACACAATGAGATGAGCATGGGAGACGTTACAAAACATACATGCAATGCAGTCCACCACACACTCACACACACACACACACACATTCACACACACACACAGCTGTTGGCTTATCATAACACTGAACACAGATGACAATGTCTTCATAGCACTAGTGAGCTTTTGTTGTTTGCTATGGGCATTCAGTAGTAGCTGCACACCAGAGATAGAGAAGGGGGTGAGTCAAGCACTCTGCAACAATGCAAACCTGTACAATTACCATGCACTGCAATCCTGCAAACCAGCACTGCAATCCACCAGCCCAGTTACTCACAGCTGGCCTCAGTTGCTGGTGCCACAGTGCCCAACCCCTCTCCCCTTGAAACGGGAGGAAGGGGTCGTTTGGGGCGCTGCGTTTCAGTGGGGATGGGAGTGGGGTTTTGGGTGAGGCTGCTCTGCTCAGGTCTTCCTGTCTCTTGAGATTCCTCTGGCCTGGCTGCCTCAAAATCAGCTGGCACTGGGACACAGGGGCAGAGGGCACACTCACACAAGACACGACATAGCAGCAGCAGCAGCAGCAGCATCTTAGGAGCATCAACAGGACAGGACTAGGTGTATGTCTATGTTAGTATTTAGACAGGCCTGAGGGATGGAAGCAGTGCCTCAGATCAGAGATAGGTCAGGATGTAGAGAGTCAGATACAGCAGAAGAGGACAACGGTGAGAAAAGACTATAGGGATAGATTATGGAGACCAGGGAGGAAGACAAAAGACAACAATGATGGTGAAGATGGAAATAAAAGTCAGTAATCAAACTACAAAATAATAATTCTACCTGGTGGGGCTTCGGGCCTCTTTGGCTTAATAATGACTTTGGCCCCTCCCCCAAAGACTGCGGCCCACATGCGGTTGTTGAGGGGATGTGCTGCCAGGCGGAAGAGTTCATTGCTGCTGTGTATGCCCAGGCCGTGAATGAGCAGAGAAAGATAAACCGCTATGACCCCTTCACACAGCAGCACGTTGAGCTTCGGCTGGTCCTCCTCTCTGGCAGACGTCAACAGAGAAATCAGGGATGACACACCTGCAGAGAGAGGACACACGTACGCACAACATGGCATTTGCTTATGAGATTAACCTGGAAACAAAACAAAAAAACAAAAAAAAAACTTCCACATCAGAACAAAACGCTATCTCTGAAAAATACAGAGTCCATTTATGAAACATTTGCATGATGCCGTGATCGGTCTCTGTCTTTCCATTTCCTTCCCAGAGGCCATGAAGCTCCTATTATAGAACACCATCTGCCTCTCTGCATAAACACAGACTGCCTGCTTTGCTCTGCTCTTCCTCTCCCTCTGCTTTTCATATTCTTTCTGACTCATGTCTTTGATGCTCTCACATATGCCATTTTCCCTTTCTATGTATTCTGTGAGGATTCTGGATCAGGATCAGATTCAGCTTCAATCTCATTAAAACAAGTCTTGAGAGCATTACAACCAACATGTTAATGAAGAGCCTTCCCCTGATAGCAAAGTTGTCCTTTTAAGATTTTTTTCAGCCTTAAGTAAATAGTCTAACTCAATCTAAACACACAGGAGCAAGTGGTTGGTAAGGCAGGAGCTTTGTTACCTGGCCACTGTGCAGGAGCGGAGTTGGGAGTTATATGTTCTTCAATGCTTTCTGTGCGGAGTCGTTTCCTCTCACTGAGCAACAGGCCCTGGTACACCATCCCTGTAAACTGGTTGGTCTCTGCCTGGCTGCTGCAAAGCCAACAACAGAGAGGGAAACCGTAAGTCGCAACCAACTTACTTTCCTAGAATATAATGAGAAGATAAATACCAGTTTCTTGTTTGTGCTTTCTGTCTGATCTAGGGTCAAGTTATGGTTAGCTAAGCTTAGCATCAAGAAGAAGTCTCTCAAAATCTGCTCTTAACAGCTATTTTAACTTACAATGATGCTGTCTGAGAGAAGAAAAAAGCAGAAGTGAGAAAGGAACTGGAAGACTGAATAGCAACACTATCACACACCATAAAAAGCACCAGTGGTGTTGTAAAGACTTTTTTTGCTTTCAGAAAGGCAAATAAATCCTCGCAGAGACTGTTGGGTGTGTTGCACTGCACTGCAGAGGCGCTGTTACCTGTAGCTGTGGCTGTCACACAGTGCTTGATAGACGCAGGCAGACAGAGATGCTGCGAGTGTGTGCAGAGCATTCACCTGAGGATGAAAGACCGACACATTCGTCTTATTCATCTTCGAAATTAATGACTTCAAATTACTGTGAGAAAGGCTGCAGACTCTAAAGTTAGATTCTTATTTGAGTTCTCACTCGATCATCCATGATGTCAGGATGCGGCGGGACCTCCATGAGGGTAATGGTGTGGAGGATGTCGTGAATGTGGTTGCTGAGGTGGAGAACGGGATTGGCTATGACTGTCTTGGTGGGGGCGATGCAAGCTGACAGCAGAGGCAGTGTAGTAGGCAGAGGCAGAGGAGACTGCAGCTGCTTTACTGTGGTCTCCTACAGGGCGAAACAGGAAAATGAAGATTTAGTTTCAATCAATCCAGTAACAGTACATAACATGAGAGTGTGTGTGTGTGTGTGTGTGTGTGTGTGTGTGTACCTGCTGGCTCTCCTGCAGTAGAAATAGAAGCTCCATGCGAACAGAGGTGACGCCTCCTCCCTTGGCTCCATGAAGGCTACAGTAGGACAGAAACACCCTCAGCAGGGCCTGGTTCTTCCTCAGCCACGCCTTGCGCCTCTCAGAGTGCTGCTGCTTGGCTTGAAGACGTCGTCGCTCCATCTGGTGACGCTCGTAAGCCCCGGCCTCTGTACGATCCAGGATGTCGTCTGATATGTCCACTGATGATGTGCGCTCTTTCCAGCGTTCCACTTCTGACTCTTCCTCCTTACCCTCCACCTTTGTTTTAACAGAATTCACCATGGTCAACCAGAGGGAATGAAAAACACTTTATCTAGAGATGCACAAGCGAAAATAGAGTTACATCAAACATTATCAAAGTGTACCTTGTAGTTGCAGATCTTATGCATGGCTGCTATCTCCTTCTCCAGCCAACTGTAGAGCTGAAAGCGGAGCTTCCCTCCATCCACCTCAAAGCCTGTGGCCAGCGTACGCAGCTCTGTCATCAGGATCTTCAGACAGGCACGGAACTTCAGCTGCTCTGCTATCACGTCCACCTCTGACTCACCCTGAAATATTTAAGAGTAAGTTAAAGCAAAAAGGGCCGCACTTTGAAGACTCGCTGACCTTACAGAAGCAGTTCAGAGTGTTCAGGGCTGTCCACATTGACAATTCAACTCTACACTTTCTGCAGGCTTCCAGAAATCAATTACGGGGTCAAGACCTCAGTACTGGTCATATCTATGACAACGATTGAGGTCTTACAGCAGTCTCATATTTTTATAATACATTTTAAATCGTCTTGGAACAGTGTCATTCCAGTTTAGCTACTTCTCTCTGCCGACTGGGGGATAAAACAAGTTTGATAAAGAATCCTAATAAAGTTTGTGTTGATAATGATGCTTAACTTTGGACATGTTTTCTCAGCATGACTTGATTGAACAGCCCATCACACATCAGAAATAAACAAGACAACAGCCCATCAGTCTGCCGCCCTTGCTCTGTGTCACTGCAGGAGGGCAGGGCTGAGCTCCACATGCAGAGTGGACAGCAGCGCAACTTCAGAGCAGAGCCCACAGCAGAGGCAATTAAACAGTAAAGTCAGAAAGTGACCACAGGCAGATTAAGACGGTCTGGAAAATATGCAGTCAGTTGGTGCCAGCCAAGATGGGAAACCAATCAAATTGAGAGTTATGGTTGTAACTAAGGTTCTATGATTTCTTAATGAAGCAAAGACCTCAGTTTCATATGCTTCTGCATTGGAAAGCCGTGCCACTGGCGTAGGTATGTAGTTACTGATGCCTATGTGGTTACCACAGCAACAAATGCAGATAGATTTGTAATACATGGAATAAATTATTATGATAATATTTTTAGCCATATTGTCCAGCCCTACTTTTGTCTGAGATTTTAAATCCAAATTAGTTTTTTATTTCGTTTCTGGTTGTGAATCACATAATGTCCAGTTAACTCAGCACAGGAACCGTCCCAGGCAGCATCTGTCGTCACGTAACATTTAAGTGACAAAATGATCTGTGTGTTTGTTGTCCTGTTTAAGGAGAGACGGTATAAGTTTGTGAATTAAAACTGAACTTTGAACTTTTTCTGATGGATACTAGTTATATAATTCCAACCTGTGAGTCCTCTCTCTGCAGTTTAGAGCCACCACTCTCCTCGTCTGTTTTCTTCATGGTCAGACCATCACCATCCTCATCTTCATCTTCATCATCTTCCTTGTCCTGTCCCCAGTCCAGCTTCAGCTCGTCTTCTTCCACTCTGACCAAAGGCTGGCTCCAGTCCAACCCGCCAGCACTATCATTCCCTCCCCAGGCAGGAGGTGCTGGAGAGCCCCAGCCCACAGCTCCCTGGGTGCCATTCTCCAGAGGTTGGCTCGAGTTTAGGTTGGCCTTGGACGAAGCTTTGCTGAGAGGTGAGGAGCCAGATTTCCTGGTGACTTTGGGGATCTTGGAGAGCACTTCCAGAGCCAGAACTGGGCAGCCCACCTACAGAAGATTTAGATATTGATATGATTAAAACCTTTTACACTTACTATGTAACATTCACGTTTGCTTTTGTAGTGAACATTTTGTCCCTAGAAGAGGCAGATACAGCAGTAGGTCCCAACAAGCTGGACTGGAGTGAGTGGTCATATTATTGATGAGCCCACCTTGAAGTGTGCATTGGCAGTGGTGAAGAACAGTTTTCGCTCTATGAGGTTGATCTCAACTGCGCTGCTCTTCTCAGCAGTGAGGCCCACAGTGGTTGCTGTGCCCTCTGGATTTGCAAAGTGGCGACGGATGATCAAAGGATGTGTCCTCAGGTAGTTATAGAAACTAAACACCACGGGGTTGCAGGCTTTCACCATCACATCTAACACGGAGGGATGACGAAAAGAGAGAGGAGAGAGCAAAAAGCCTTTAAGCGTAGCACACAGTGCAGACAATGAGCAGAGGTTTCACAGGTTTTAGGGGATCTTGCCATGTAATACAGAAACGTCTGCAACCAACTCACCAGGGTTCTCGTCATCCTCTTTGGGGATTCGTTCCAACAGTGTGTCCAGGGCTCGGGTGTAATCCTTCATGATCCAGTAAGCTATGCTGCGGAGGAACGGGTCAGGGTGCAGTCTGGAACAGTGGTAACCACTTCCGTCCCTGTTGCAGCCCAGGACCTTCTCGTGAAGGAGGCCTTGGCAGGTGGATGAATTCTCAAAGTCAGCCTCATACAGCCTTGCTACTATCATGGCTAACTGGATATCCTCCATCTTCTCCATCAATACCTGCACAACATGGAACAGCGGAGGAGAGGGGAGGGTTAACATTAAGTTTGCATTATAGTGCAGAGATTTATGGAATTTGAGGCAGTAATTTACACCACAACTAATACATGGAGCTGAAGCATACAGAACTTCTATTTCCTTTTTTGGCTATCTGTATATTTTGACTACACAGTTTGAAAACTCAGCCCAAGGAAAACTATGCAGCCTTTTTATGCCTCTTATCGGTGTAATTTAGACTTTTCTCATGTGATTTAAAGGCTGCAGAATACACAGCTCTGCAAGCAACAGATCAGTGATTCTGTGATTTGACAGTCATACAGACCCACCGTCACACACTACATTCTATTTCCATATAACAAGGCTTTGCCAAGTGTCCACTGTGAGGGAAATGACAAAGACGTGTTGGAGTAGACTCAACAGTAATAAGCTGCGCATCTTGTTCACACCTCTATGGCGTCTTTGAGTGATCCGGCCAGTAGGAAAAAGGCGGCGGACTGTTCAAAGCGCTGCTTGCCCAGCAGGGAGAAAGCGTTTTTCAGAGCAGCCTTTCGCCAGCGGTCTTCACTGAAGTTGTTCTTGAAGAACTGAGTCATCTTCTCATCATGCTGAGACCTGGGAAAACAAAAACCACACAGCTCAGTGTCCCATGAAGGTTTTATGAGCAACTTAATTAAAACTGAACAGTAACTCAATTCAAGATAATTATGTGCTAAGAAGCAATGTCCTACCTGAAGAGCCCCCATAGGACAGCTTTCTTCTTCATGGCCAAGTAGAAGAGAGCAGCATCTAAAGGGTCGTTGTGTCTCTGGAACGCAGCTTTGCCTAACTGATTACACACAAACATCACAGTTACTAAATCAGTAATCCCAGTTGTCGCTTATTTGATGGAATCATGTTAAGAGCACTTCATAGACAACACGGAATCAACACACTTACTGCAGACTGTCACACATGGCTGTACCACCAATGTTCTCCTTATTTAGCTAGCTATTACAGGTATAATATAGAGGATTGTCGGTTACTGTTCGTTCACAAGCTCTCACTTAGCGTTTCACCTTGCTATATCTGCATTTTTTGTTGGCACTGTGTCTCTTGAATGCCTGCTGCTTATGGTCTAGCATCTGGTAGCTACCTTCTTATAAAGCCCTGACCTTTTTCTGTGATTTGTCATTGTTTTCTATAGGTTTCACTTTTTTTCCTCACAGCCTACAATTTAAGATAGGTTTATCAATATATTTATATTATTTTTTCTGGGTATCTCATCTCATGTCACTCTGTGTTTTTTATTCATGTGTTATTTTTCAATATTGTCTATTTGTTCCTCGTGTCATGCTGCCAAGCATGCATTATTTAGGTCATGTGATGGCCTATTGGTTCCTGCTGCTATATAGTTGGGGCCATACCTGTGTTGTGTGTTTTCAAAGCCCTGACAAAGACCTGCAGCAGTCAAAACATGTTGACTCTTTTAATGATTTAGCTACTATAATAAAAGCTTTTTAATATTTTCTTCCTCCTTTTCTAAATTTTTTGGAGTGCCTTCATTGTCTTCCTGTCAATCCTGTTGTTTCCCTTTCTCCACGAGCATCTGACACAAGGTTTTGATCTACATTTGTATAGACAGAGCAACCAGTCGTCTCTCTTGGCTGCTGTCACACACCTTTGAATTTTGCAGTCAGTACAGGTTTGGTGGCTGAACTACAGAAGGTGCACAAATGACAGGAACACCTGACCTGACCTGTTTTGTTGAGACATGCTGGTTAACTATGGTCTTTCCAGAAGGAAGCTAGTGGAAATATTTGGCAGGCGTCCATGTCTTTAGAATCCAGTAGAACAACACAACAAACTAAAAATAAATGACCTTAACAAAGCTGGAATTACCAGGTCTATGACAAAGTATCAGTAAATATTCTAAGCTTTCCAAAGCTGTTTTAAAGGATTGTGTTTTTGTTAACCAACCTTCCCCGAGTGCAGAATGTTCTGCAAGTGGCCTAAAATATCACAGTTAGCTCTGTTGTCCTGTGGAGGAGTCTCATATTTCCTTTTCTTGTTAATTGTTGCATCACTGTCCTAATGTTTAAAACTGTCAACTGAATCTGTCCTGGTACCTTCTCCACCATTTTCCGCAGAGTGTTGATGTTGCGTATCCACCAACCCACTCCGACAGCTCTGAGCTCAGACCACTGTGGGTCGCCTCTCTGCATGGCTGGGATCATGTTGAGCAGCTCCTCTTCTGCCTCCGAGTGGAAGGCCCATGCAAAGTGACATGTTGATAGGCCTGTCACAGGGACAGAGGGACAGAGGAGAGAGCAATATGTCTGAGGTTAAATGCACTAGAAATCTATATCACATTATGACAAAAGCAATGTTTTATTTATGTGTATACAGCAGCATAATTAGCAGTGTGATTTACCCTGGTGTAGCAGCTGCATGCGGTAGAGGGGGGGCAGAGAGGTGAGCAGGCAGGTATGAAGACGCATGGCCAGCAGGTACCTCAGTCCACACTCATCAAGAGCCTCACCACCTACACAAACACAACACCAGGGAGCTGTCAGCTTCGTAATTGTTATTCCACCAAGCACTCTATTAAAACAGCAGCCACAAAGCAAAGCCCCTTTAAATCTCCAGTATCATTTGAGTTTGTGCATCCTGTCAGAGACTGTGCCTCTTGTCCCTGAACCTTCTTACCCTCTCTATGCTTACTTAGGTCTGGAACAACCTGCTTATGTCTTCCTCTCAAAAGACTAAATAACAAGGATGGAAAATTGGAGGAAATAGACAAAGATAATGGAAAAAGTGCAGTGTTTGTATATATACAGTTAAAGAAGAACAGTATAATCACTGTTGTTTGTGTTAATGGAGATTTGATGGCTGGAGATTAACTGTATCCATGAACACACACTCATAAAATGATGTTTGTCTTTTATGTCTATAACCTTTGGTCAACTTTAATGCCACAGTGTCTCTTCCCAAGGATAACAGCTGATGGACTGGTAGACATTAAGGTGGTCCAACACACCAAATTACAATGCAAACCCATTCTGCAGGTATGAGTTCATCATGTAGCTTACATACGAAGCGCAAAATACAAAATAGGACAATACCCTTATTCATTTGCAAAGGAAAAATTCCTTTGTCACTTCAGTGTAGAAGATTCTTGTATATGACAGAACTTGAATCAATCAGGTTACAACTCTACACCTAAAAGCCTGGTCACATTGAGTGTGAGCATGAAAATCAGCACTTTAAAATAGCTAAAAAACTAAAATCTAAAACTGTGGTTCCCAAATGGTGGGTCGCAGTCTGAAAGTGAGCCGCGGGTCCATTCTGAAGAGACTGCAAGTGACTTGTTCATGCATCAAGTTTATAAAAATCACATTTTATTTTTAAGTACAACAAAATTTTGGCACAAAGCTTTTATTTTCAAGTGCCATTTCCTGCAGCAGAGCAAGTGAATAACAGACAGCTTCTTAACAGAGACAGCAGACTAGCTTGACGACATGGCCAAATGCAAGTATGACACGAAATGTATTAAACTGTGTGGACCTTGAACTAATGACTAAGGAGAAATCTGGACCTTGTGGCTGGACCCGTTGGGAACCACTGGTCTAAAATGTTGGGAAAAAAAAAACAAAAAAAAAAAACAGTTGAGTCGAAACCAGAAAAGAAGAGGTGGTCAGCAAATATTTTTGTTGAGTCACTAAAAGGAATCCTAAGAGGAAGATCTATTTTGCTACTTGAAAAGGTGCATAATGATAACTGGGAGAAGAATTGAGCACCAGATGTAACCTAAAGATATTGTGGATGTGTTACACTATGAAGTGTGTTTATGGTGTTTTTAATAGTGTATTTTAATGTGCTCTTGACTCCAGTTCAAGGAACAGTGTCTATGCCCAGTAGACTTTGAAGCAATAGCTCATATTTCCTCTATGTTATACAGTATACTGCATATATTAGAAATGTGATTGTAATCCTACATGCACAAACACACACACTGACCTGTGTACTGTTGATCAGTGGAGCTGGTGACCTCAGCACTGGTGGTTGCAACAGTATCAGCCAGTGCCACCAGAAACATCTGCTCTAATCTGGTCAGTCCTGGTAAGCTGGAGTGCATGAGGTGACTGGACAAAACCTGGACACATAAAGATAGAAAGAGAGCGACGAGGGACTCAGAATGACCGATTGAAAGATATTAGCAGCCTTAATGTTTGCAAGAATTATACAATACTTAAAGGGAAACTTTGGTATTTTCAACCTGAACCATATTTTCAAATGTTTTTGTGTCTACGTGAGTAAAGGGGACACCAATTTTTTTCAAATAAGTCAAGTACTGAGAGACAGCGCTGTAGACAACAGCTGCAAAACGGGCTGCAGCACAGGGTAATAGAGCAGTCAATTTATGTGCATTAAAAGAACTTGTTTTTGCCACTGACAGGCTCAGACTGTTATTAAAAGTGTCTGACATCATTATAGAAAGGATCCTACAGAGAAATTAAATGTTTTCTTTACCTTTTGCTACATCTGTCTCACTCTAGGACGAGTCTCATTCTGAAATCTTGCAGACTTTTCCACATTGTCAAAATCTGCTATATATTTAGCAGTCATACTGAAAATCTGTTAGGTAACACTGAGTTCGGCTTTCTGCACTCCAGCACAACAAACTCTCACTGGCACGCCTCTCTCCAACTCTGACTAACATTTCAACTGTTGTTTTCTGATTTCAGAACAAGACTTCTCCTTGAGCAAGACTTGGTTACACCTGTGTCTGTATTTTACTGTATTTGCTGTGTTGTATTATTGTATTGCATTATTCCATGCTCACTAATCTTACACTTAATGTTTTAATTATAAAAGTCTAACCAGCGACAGGGGTTGCACATTAGAAATGGCTAGAAACGTGTATGCATTGCATCTACTTTGTATTTTACATATGAATCAATGTCTTATGCATTTGTCCTTGTCAAATAAACAAGTAAATAAATAAAATAGCAAAAAGATGTATGGAGGTATGGAACAACGTCTCATTTCTCTGAAGGGTCCTTTCCATGATGCTGTCAGACATAACAATCTGAGCCTGTCAGTAGAATGAACAAGCATGATTAGTGGACATGGCAGTGTAAATGGACTGTGCATAATTGCCCTGAGTAGTTACACTGCAGCTCATTTCAAGGCTGCCGGATGCAGCGCTCTCGTACGATGCTGGGCCAGTTTCAGATATTGTTGCTCCCATTAGTCACTTTGGCACAAAAACATAGGAAATGGGGTCATGGGTGTGAAATACCAAAGTTTCCCCTTAACACATCTTCCCTGAGAAAAATGTAGTCTGATATTACTACATTCATATCTGCAGATTAGCCTACTATTACCATGTTATGATTGTCATGTTTCTTCCACATTACCCCTTGCTTATTAACCGCTTAATTGCAATACAAGTATGGATTAAAAGTAATATTTATTTCTGGATGTTACCATAAACTGTCTGCACTTATAGTACAGTTTCCCTTTGTTTTTAAATGATATCTCCTTCTACAAATACAGCGATACCTGAGCATGCTCTGGTCCAAAGTAGGTAGGTCCGTATTGAGACAGGTTGATAACTCGAGACTTCTTCTCTGGTTTGTCGGTGGCAAAGTTCACAAAATCATCAGTGGTAACTGTTTGCATCTGTCAACACAGGACAAAATGAGTTAACTCATTAGTGGACTACACCTTTAACATCAAAATCAGGGCTCTGTTGTGCTCTACCTACCTGGAAGAGGTCAGCATACTGGTCCTCTGCAGATTTCTGGGACCCCTCACCATCAGACGCCTTTGTTCCCTTAGCAGCCTCTTCCGCTCCCTTGTACGAGGTGTCCAGGTCAGCCAACATGAGGGAATAGAGGGGCAAGGGAGGGATGGAGTTGATCTCTGTGTAGTCTCTACCCCCATCGCGGCCAGCCACAATGGTGTCTTTTGCTGTGCTGCCAGTCACACTGATGGTTCGGGACAGATGTCTCCTGGCTCCGCCCTCACCTGCCTCCACATCCCTTACAACAGCGACTTCCCCGGCAATACACTTCACCAGGTGAGCTAGGATGGCCTGATATACAGAGCACATGCAACAATGTGGATTAGATGCTGGATCGCCATATATCCCTGTTTATCTATCGGACTGTGTCTGTGGGCATGTCATTTAGGTTAGTCTAATCTAGAAAAGGAGGGGCTCACTGTACTCTAGCCACTGCAGATACTTTTGAATAAAAAAATGCAATCTTTAAATGATAATTTCGCATATCTTGGAGTCAGTGAATGACACAAACCCACCTTGGCACGGCGAACCTTTCCCAGGTCCATGAGTTCCAGCAGCTGGGTGGGATGGTACTGGGGTAGAGTCGGAGACAGTGAGTGAGCTGCTTCAAACAGTCCCCCTTCCTGAAGTCCTGCCGGGGCACGAAGCGCCTCATCCACTGCAGCACTCCCTTCAAACACACTCTTAGACCTGGCTCTCCCTTCAAAGACTGAGGAGGTACCTGCGGCTTGACCTCCAGCAATGTCTGCAGATGACAGGTTGCCCTCGTCTCCCTCACCAGGCTTCTTGTCCTGATGCCACTGAGCATACACGTGCATTTCACAGTCCATGCCCACCACCAGGATGCCATCCCTCACCCAGGACAGGGAGACTGGCAGAGATGGCGTGCCGTCAACAGAGGACAGGAGGTCCACGGTCCGAAGCAGGATCCAGCGTGAGCGGATGCCCTGTTTGATACTGCCCCCTAGAGGAAGGGTGATGACAGCCACCCCCTCCTTGCTGCTGGTCGGTTCATTGACCATGCCGGAGATACGGCCGTACATGAGAATGTTGGATCCGACTCCAACAGTGAGGATGTGAGATCCATCCTCCTTTGACAGCCAGTCCAAGTGAACGTAGTGCTTAATGTTGGGGGAGCTGTGGTCTCTGCTCATATACAGGTCAGACCTGGCATGGAGAAAATGATTAACTTATCAGACTCCCACACAGTGGCTGACACAATGTGATATAAACACACAAAGCAGTGCCCTCCTGACCTGCTGTAGACAAAGAGGTTGGAGTCCACACTGACTCTTGGATCCAGGGTCGACGAGGGTCTGGTGAAGTCGTCCAGGTGGAGAGTTTGCTCTAAAACCCACTCTGAGCCACCAGTAGACTCACACTCATATATGGACACATGCATGGAGAAGTCCTCTCTAGAGCCCTGCAGCTGAGGACAAAAGGAGAGCTGTGTCATGCAATATGTCAAATCTGTAGACACTGAACGAATCATAATGTAAATACAATAAAAGTCAATAAATAAAATGCAAGACAAACTGATGTGGGCTCATGAGAACACCTTATTAGTGCCCACACAGACCTGGATCTTGTATAACATAATTTAATACACTGAGAATCAAGACATATAGGCCAGACTGCTGGTCATGAGATCTCAACTCAGTTTCAGTTTAATCACATCCTGCTCCACATACTTCAAATATAGAGTAGCGACAGGATATGGAGTTAGATCCTCAGATTGTCGGGTTTCATCACTTCCTTTTCACTAATAGCTAATAACTGTTAGCCCAAATTTTACTATGTGTAGAAGACTAATACAAAGCCAAAGACTTATTTCCTACCTGTCCTTGTCGTGGCTTTTTAAAAGCCATGGCCAGCCTGCCGATGTAGGAACAGGACACAGCAACAGGCCGGCCAGACACACACACAGCGCTGTTGTTGTCGTCTTCCTCATTCATCAGGGCCCAGGGCTCCCAGCGGTATGAACGATTGTCCCGGTCATCCTCGCTATACCCCTCATCGCCCTCCACGGCACAGCGCCAGAACCGAACGCGAGAGTCAGAGCAGGTAGTGACAATCAGGTACGGAGCCAGGCACACAGGGTAGATGGAGGAGGAACTCAGGTGACCTAGCAGAATGAAGGGGCAGTATGAAATTCAGTTCTGCATTTTCTTGTTAACCTAATTTCTTGGTTTCTACATAACATGTGGCAAATAGATTTTCCGGGTACTTCTTGGAACCTGCCAGACCTGGCTTAAAGATGGACACTTCACATTTTTTATTCTATTTGCAAACATATTCTGCCCTCCAAAAGCAAAAGATCTAACTAACCAGGGTGTAGAACTGAGAGAATTGACTTTACAGTTGTTTCTGCATCCAGCTAAATGAATCAAAGGCATAATAATGGAATTTTTTTGTTTCTTACTGAAGTTATTTATCTAAGGTTGTTTGCCTTTGCACAGCAGAGTTGTCACGATACCCTAAAATTAATGCAGACCATTTGGGATTTTGCCACCTAATGGGCTTTTACAGATTCCTTTTAATGTGGCAACAACAACATGGTGTGAGTCATCTTGTGCCCATCCTAACCTGCAGAGGGGGTGGCCCTGGTAACTTCCACCCCATGGGGCAGGTCGAGCCGCTTGCTGTACACCAGCTTGGAGCTCAGGATGAGTTTGCTGGCTGATTGCAAGTTGGCTGTTGAGGCTGACCGAGGCAGGGGTCTGATGGGTGAGGTCTCCGGAGACGAGTCCGCATTCGCAACTTGATTGGGAACCATTAGCTGGCTCTGGAAGCTAAAATCTGGGCTCGGCTCATCTGGAGACAGAGAAGCAGGGATATTACACCTCCAAAAAAGTTGTTGTAGATGAAAGAAGGAAGGCTTCACATTTAAAATCCATGATTATAAATGTGCAGAAAACCTGTGCCAGTTCAAATGTTTGTACCCCACACTCACCAACACAGGCCTGCACAGACTGGAGGTGCAGGTGCCACATCTGCAGGACAGAGTTCCTGTTGAGATCTTTTTCTATCACCACCAGGAAGAACTTCTCAGAGAACGGGGCGGGTTGGTAATCTGGATACAATAAAATGACATTATCTTCCTCTTTTGACAATCCAGTTTGAACAAGTATGAGGAAACACATCTATGCATTGTTTTAATTCAACAGTGTGCTGCACCTTCGCCTGATGGAAAGGCCGGTGTGTATGCTTCGGATTCTTTCTGAGGCTTGTAACCTAGAATGAAGTCCTCTTGGAAGACGTGCAGCAGCTGGGTGTTGGCGCCACACTGAATGCACAAGGAAATGGCATCAAAAAGGATACTATGTCCACTGATCAGTAGGTTTCAGGATTTCAAAGCCCTGAATTTCTGTCCATCACTCATCTGAGGTGGGTGTGAAAACCAGAGCAGCTGCTAACCTGATTTGTAATGACGTCCAACTCTATGATGCATCCAGGTCTGGCAGTGGACTGCTGGCTGACGATGTTGAACACTTCGCCCACCAGTTTCTAAACAGAGACAAACATGAAAAATTGTAAAATATCCGTTTAGTGTACTGCATTTGAAACCATTAATGTAGTGAAAGAATATTGCATAATGATTTGTGAAGTACAGGGTAATGCAGGCTCCTGGTTGTTATAAAGCAAGAGATCATCTTTATAAAGAACAGCCATATTCCCAATAAAGTTGACATCTGTCTTCCTATAGACAGAGTACTGTTGTTCTTTTGTGCTTTGGTAACAATTATAAATAAAGGCAATGGAAAGTAGAGAGGAAATGAAAAGCACACAGATGTTGAAAAGCTGGCCTGTATTAAGAATTTAATATCTGAGACAGATGTGGTTATATCAGATTTGTGCTGTTTCATGGTTGATGTATGCCCAATAGCAGCCCACAAGCCCTCTTTGGACCCAATTCCTGGTTCTTTGTGAAAATTTAAAGACCCATAGTGTGTGACATGAAGACCTCAACATATAAAAATCACTGAGCAGAAACTCTAAACAGCCATGGTCACATCCCAATGAACGAAAACACTATTTGTTTTGTGTGCAGTGACGCATGAGTGTGTCCACTCACAGATGTTTCAGGGTCCGACAGCTCATCCAGGAGTTTTCTGGCATCCACCACGGCTTGATAGAGACGCAGGTTTTTACCATCTGATGCCACGAAGCAGGCGCTGGCACTGTTACAGTAAGTTCCTGAGGGACACAACACAATGTTTATAGGTAGGTCCTGCAGTGCCAAAGAAAGTATTTAATGTATAATACAGGAAAAAAAGGTTTTGTTGTTTTTCTACCAAGTTGAAAGATACTCATATACTGAGCCATGTGCCTATATCATTAATAAACATCTCACAACTTAAAAAGAATTTCTTCTTCGGGCAGCAGAGAGCCAGCATCTAGAGAAACTAGATCAAGGTAGGATCTTAATTGGAATAGGTATATTGTTGCTTTTGAGGCACAGTCATGAAAATGTGTTCATATTTCAGAAGGGGATAATGAGGGGAGGAAGGCATAATTAACTTTTTAATAGAAATCTAACATGCAAAACTGGCTTTGATTAACTACTGCATAGAACTGCAGGTATGCGCTTTATCAGCAAGGGTGTGAATGTATATTGTGCATACATTTGGCACAGTTTTGCCCTTACAAAAAGTAAACATCATACTGCTATATGACTAAAAGCAGAAGTTCAGATGATTCAGCAAAAGTGAAACTTCCACATTTACATAAAGTTCATGGAAATTATTTACCCGTAACGAGAATCACTGGGGTTAAAATGTACTTCCACATTAAAAATGCATGGTGTGTTTACCAAGTACAGAGCTGGGCACTAGCGTAGGTAGCCAAGCAACGTTGCTGAAGGCAGAAGTGTGCAGAGAGTTGATTCGAGCCAGTTCTGAGACCCCTCCGGTGCAGGACAGGGGTCCAATGTGGTCCACCCTCCACAAGATCAGCTCACTGTAGATGGCGTTTGGGTCATGGAAGGTCCTTGTTGCTGCATTACGGAGCTGCTTCCTGCTAATAGAAAATGTTTCATGTTTCAAACAGAGGGCAACAAGACCATCATTGATGAACGCATGTCTCAGCATGCTGCAATAAGCATGTGCCTAATCTTTCCTCTCCTTATCTCTTATTTACTTCCTTTCTCTACGTTCCCACAGTGCTATACCTGGGAAGTCCTTTTGGTAGCGGAAACGTAGGAGGCTGCTCTCCCTCCAGACTGCTAGGGGCTGAGGGAGGGGTGAGCAGAGCATTATGGTGAGAGGAGGTCAGCAGCAGCGGCAGCACTGTGTGGCAGGCTTGGTCGTTCAGATGGAAGCGGTGGCCGCAGTACCGGAACTTATGTGATACGGTCAGTACGTTAGAGAAGGCAGAGCGCTCAGCAAATGTCACTGCCCACTGCAGACAGAGGGAACCAAAGAATTTAGAGAGGGTTGAGACGGCTGAACACACACAAACATCAATACAGTTCAATAATTTGTAATTATGGAATGCAAATATGGTGTTGGTGTGAAATTTAAGAGGTAAGGTTTAAGGAATGCATTAAGTTTTTGGAAACACCTTCATCAACAGTGGTCATTTATAAAAACATATAGGCGCTGACCCTGGCAGAAATAAATGGTGCATCCCCAGCACTCAGCTCTCTTTTACCTGGTTAAGAGATCCATCAACATGCTTTGAGACCATCATGACAGCAGGACTGATACCAGGGCGGGGGATTAGAGAGGAGGCCAGTGTGGGTGAACCCAGGCCGGCCGAGACTGAAGCAGAGCGGGAGATATGTTGGACCATCCTCCCCTGCTCCCCTGCGCTGGCACCCTCACCCTCGGACAAAGTGCAGGCGTACATCAGGATGTTTTTACTCAGTGAGTTGGCGTCACCTGTAGGAAATGCCACTGGAATACGGGAGGAAAAGGACACCTGGTGGGAGAGATGGAGGGAAAGAAAACCCATTAGGACCACAGGCACAATAGTATTCTCTTAAGTCCTTTAGCCCTGTAGAGACCTAATTAGCAGTTTATATATACATATAAATGCATGTGTTTGGAAAGTACTGAGCATAAGACTGGATAAATGACTCTTGGATTATACTGCATCAGTTGTGCGAGTGTTTGGAAATGGCTGTTTTTTCTTTAAAGGATCGGTATCAAGTAAAATAAAACTGATTAAATGCTGATCGCTTCTTCACTGTTCTGTTCTACTGTGTTTTGTCCTCCTCAGCCTGCTTGTGTTGCAGCGTCTCTCTCCTTAAGGACAGCTGGTCTCCACAGTGTGAGCATCTCGCTGCATAGTTAAGTGAAAATTGGCATGTGTGAATGTGAAAAATTATTTAAACACACCAGTGTGCGACTGAGGTTGGCAAAACACACAGATTCACTGAACTCCAAGCTCCAACAAATCTGCTCTCTTTTCTTTCTCAAAAGCAAAGAGCACAACATGGACACAACATTCAGGTAGTAGATTAAATTACATGTTAATAATACAAATTATACTTCATAATATAATATAAATATCACTCAGGAAAGATTGTCAGACCTGTAGGAAATAGTTTCATGAATAATGACACAACAAAGTTTAATAGCCTACATGCACAGAGGCGCACAGTGTCTCTCCGTCAGAGGAAGAAAAAAGGATTATTAGGAGTCTTATGTAAGGCTGGGGGAGTGCTGAGTCACCTTACATTTCAGAAAAAGTTTGACTACAGCTACGCTGCCACTATGTGTGTATGAGCGAGTCAATGGGCAAGTGATTCCCTTTTGAATTTCAAGCAGAAGAGTTACCAAATTGGAAAAAAAAGTTCCTCACTTGCTTGTTAAAAGTACAAGCAGGATGCAAAAACTTTCTGTCCCCACATCCTGTCTGATTTACTGCTCACCTGAACCTGTCTGAAGATGCCCTGGTTGAATTCGTCCAAGTACTTCACATGCCAAACCAGGAAAGATCCATCGGTAGGGTGGATGGTGAACAGCATGTCCGGGCTCTTGTTCCACTCTGTGATCAGAGTCTCCATCTTCCTCTCCAGCAGCATGGAGGGCAGAGGCATGCTAGAGCTGGATCCCGGGGAGGACGCCTTGGTGCTTCCCTGCTCCCCTGGCTCACCCTCCTCACCCTGCTCTGAGGACGCTTTGTCAGACATCTCGTCCAGGTCTAGATAGACAGAAAACAATATGCTTTTTATAACTTGATTTTGCTTTTAAGCCAGCGTGTTTTAGGGAATGTGTGTTGGCCTGGCTGTGGGTCATACCAAAGTCAAATTTCATAGGGGATCCTTCAGGTTCCAGGGGGTCGTCAGTAGTCTGGTCCAGCTGCTGTTCAGAAAACTTGCGCAGCTGCAGCATAAAGAGGTCCATGGAGGAGGTGAAGCTGAGGTCCTTATTGTTGAGCCAGTGAACTACGAAGCCTCCGCCACCAGTGCCATCGTCTGGGTTGAACACTGCAGAGTCAGCCAGCACTGGTGGGATATCTGACAGAGGAAGAGGGAGATAAAAAGATGATGATCTTTATATATGTATGGATACAAGTAGTGAAAAAAGGCTAAATAAAATATAGCTCAAGTTTAAACTAGATTCACAGCTGCACTGAATGTGTTGCTCACTAATGTGAGTCATTTATTTTCAGTCACAGACGCCATTTGTGCTGTATCACTCAGTGTTGCACAACGTGCATTTTGTGCAAAACAAATTCTGTTTTTATACCCATTTTCTTATGTTTTGGAACAAAGCTTTAATTTAAGCTTTAAAACAACAAAAAAAAAAATCAAACCATCAGATAGTATAATAGAATAAATCTTTAAATGACCATCTCAGGGGATCTCTACTATCAACTAATCTGCAAAGAAACCCTTACATGGTCAATAGTGCAACTACATATGAAATGCTGCTAGGCGAACTCCGACAGACACCCTACCTGTGTTGGGGTTAATACTGGCCGAGATATGGAAGTGACACAGGGCGTTGGCATGATGAGCGATGTGGCGGTGAGTGTGTGTGTCTTGAGTGCCAAGCTGAGAGGGCAGCAGCTCACTGTGTGCCACCAGAGCAGAGGACCGTCGCCGGCCCCGGCGCAGATGCTTCAGATGGTGGATTGACTAAGCAAGAATAACACAGGAGAAAAAAACATAGAGAGCAGGTTTATATAAATTTGCCGCCAGGAATTTTGTATTTTCTTTAATTAGTTATGTCTGGTTAGTTCTGACTGCGTAAGTAAGTGCACCTCTAAAGCATGCTGGATCTTGTCCTTATTGCCTGCCAGTCCTGGCAGGCTGGAGCTGAAGGATTGTGTGTTCTCAGAGATCTGTCCTCCGAGCAGGCTGTCTTCTGGTAGCAGCGTCTCTGACCACAACCTACACACACCATCCTCGCAGGATGTCAGCAACACATTGCACACTGAACCCCTAGAAAAAAAAACAGGAGAATGCAACTTTTACACAATCAGTAATTACTTTTTTGAAGGAAAGGCTGAGGTGAGATACAAGGACAGGCCACATTAAACTGATGAAATTACTGATTCCCTCAGCAGGACAGCCAAACAGAGAACTGCCTCTCACTGGCTGCTTCCACCACTGAAAAAACATTCTCAATTTGCTGACCAGACACGGATAAGTGTAAATGGTGCAAATTTTCCAGTCATACAGAAACTTGTGGTGATCATCAGCTACATGTAATAACCACCTGTCTGCTGTGTGTGACAGAGTTCTAAGGGAAGTTTATCAAAACTTGGTAACACCAGTGGTGGCTGGTGTTCTGGGAAAATTCTTACAGCTGTGAAAATGTTAGTGACAAGCCTAATACACAAATTATAAGTACTTTCTGTCACATTCCAGAGTACAGAGGGCTGACTACTCCTGACAGTGGTAACCATGGGTGAATTACAAAACTTTGCAGTCAGGCATAGTCTACACCAGTGGTTCCCAACTGGTGGGTCACAGTCCAAAAGTGGGTCGCAGGTGCATTCTGAATGGACCTCAAGTGACTTGAAAACATGTCAAGATTGTAAAAATAAACTTTATTTGAAAGTACAGTTAATTTCCTAAGTGCCCTTTCCTGCTGTAGAATGAGTGACTAACAGGCAGCTACTTGACAGAGACAGCAAACCAGCTGGACGACATGGCCAAACGCAAGTATGACACTGAATATATTAAAATGTGTGGACATTGAATTAATGACTAAGGAGAAATCTGGACCCCATGGCTGGACCAGTTGGGAACCACTGATCTGCCCTTTGCATGAATACAGCTTTTTTAGTGTTGTATACAAGAACATAAACTGAAATCACTGTAAACTTGCCATAAAAGTAATGTATGCAAGGTATTAAAAATGGGTGATCAGGACAGTGTTTCATTATTTTTGTTGCAACTTTGATTCCTTCAAATTTACCCTAACAAACACAGAAATGTATAACAGACAAGATACACAAAATTTAGTCAATATTAGCATTATACACAGTTAAGAATTGTACACTTCTGTTCATTAACACTTGATTCAAAAGAGAGATGTAAAAAATAATTAAATAAATAAACATGTCACTGGCCATCCTTACTGTGTGATCATGTGTGCTTTCTTACTTGGGCATGTACTTGCTGGTCTTCCTCCAGGACATACCAGTGACCGAGCGAGGATGAGCCAGGTATACAAAGGAGAAGTTAACAGGAAGAGGCTTTTTATCGGAGGGTTCCTGGACCACCACTGCAGAGCGCCAGCCCGTGGTGGGATACCACACCTTGAGTAAACAGTCATCCTGCATATGCAAACACACGTACGAATATAGATTATATAAAAACATCACCGCAGACCATACAATTACAATTTATTAACATTTGTTGTTTTGCAACATGTTTACGTGAATGTACCTTTCCAACTGTTGCAACGTACTCCCCATCAGGAGACCACTTGGCAATGTGAACAGATGCAGCCGTCCTGAGAGGCACACAAGCACAAACAACGGCATGAGCTATATTCACTTCTCCATGGGAAACTTTCTAAGGAACAAACACACGAGTGATTCTTCTGTCAGCTGTTAGTGTGTGTGCTCGGTTACGTCGTGCATGAGCTATTGCTGGAAATTTCACAGCTTGCACTTCCTTGTTCTGGTGGCTTTCCAGGGCATGCACATGTGTCATCAGATGACAATTACTAAGATGGCATTGTATGTCTGTTTGCACAGCTTTTAAAGCACAGGCCACAGACTCAAAAGAGTGGCTTACAACAGTGCATACAAATTTAATGTGAGGCTGAATGCAGATGAATTTGGATAATAAGTAACCGTATATACGTTTTTATCAGTAGAAAATGATGTAATTCCTCAAAATTAATATCTGTCTGCACAGGGCAGGGACTAACTCTTTACTGCATCACAGAAAAAAACAGAAGATATCAGCTGACTGCAAAAGATGAAAACATTATGCCTCCCTTTTATTTCCAACTAAACAAAGAGAAAAGTGCACACATGTAAAATCTGACTCATCTGCCAGTGCTCAGAAAAATCCACTTCAATTTTGAGTATTTTTAAACATGAGCAAAGTATTTTTTTTCATTTACAATCACCTGTGACAAAACCTGCCTGAACAGAGCTTTTACTGACTTGACATTTATAGACACACTCAGACACACTCAGCCAACTACAGTGTCTGGATATTTATATATATCTGCTTCGTCAACTGCACTACAAGACCATCTTCTTCAAAAGCAACTCTCTGAGTAACTGCACTTGGCTCTGCACCAGATCATCTTTGGATTTTGATTCTGCTATTGACCTAATGTACATAACGTTTTCAATCCATGTCAATCAAATCAGATGCTCTTACAGTATGTGCCAAAAAAATAAAAAACGTACTTGCACTGCCAGACACAGTTCCAGTCATTGAGGACAGGGTGGGGCTTGTCGTCAGTCAACTGCCCATCCTCCTCCTCTATCAGGGCATCTGTCAGCGGAGGAGCCCACAGCTGGAGCCGCTCGGTTGCTGCTAGGATACGGTTCCCTGCAGACACAAAAGCAGTGTGTTACACACCTCTCGTCCCGCGCTGACTACTACAATACACAGAGCCACATGCACACTGTGACTGTTACATAATGCAGATTGCACATGTCGTTCCAGACAAACCGCAGGGGGCTGTAATAGGAGCTGCGCGTAGTGTGGATTAATTTAGTCAGACAGTCGGTGAATCAGTTAAACACAGAAAGCATCGGCGTACCTTGTGGGTCCCAGGCCAGGTTGTAGGTGATGGCATCAAGGAAGAACTGTCCTGTCTTTTGCCACTGATAGTTAAGCTGCTGTTAGTGATAGGAGAGTGACACACCATGCAATGTTATTGGCACACGAGTGTGACTAAGCTCACAAGGTATTGATTCAAACTACTATGTATATGTCTCAAATACAGACATTCCTGCTCACCTTGTGGCGTTTGTTTGGGTTGGTAGAAAGAGGTTCAAAGATGCAGACTGTGTTTCCGTAGGACGCAGCAATCTAAAAATAAAGAGCTGTGTTCATCATCACAACATTACTCACCCCATCAGTGCTTCTGCAAAGCCATTCCCACAGGAGAGGGGAAGGTGGGGAGTGGTGCGGGAGAGCAGGATAGCGAGGAGAGGAGAGGAGAGGAGAGGAGAGGAGAGGAGAGCACGGGCAGTACAAGACAGGGGCAAACGCAGGGCTAAATGTATTTCTTTTTTGCTCAGCGTAATTCATAATGTCTTCTGGCTGCACGGAAAAACTGCGAGTGGGAGCGTGTCTCAGTGTGCAGTCAACACTTACCCTGCCAAGCTGGTGGGAGCACTCCACACAGCCCACCTGTATGTTTCCATTCTGAGCTCCCGGGATAATCTGCACACAGTCGAAGTCGCTGGCCAAGATCACTACATCACAACCTGAGCCGTAAGCCTGAAAGAGGAATGGGCACAGGAAGAAGAACTAAATCAGAGCAAGCCGCAGTGAATAAATGAAAATGAACTGCTGAAACTTAAAATGGTAAACATCACTTAGGGCTGGGCACAGGGTTGGAAATTAACACTCGCCAAGCACCAAATGTGGGTAGATTTTTCAATTTGGTGAGTAAATCTTGCCACACTGTCTGGTACATGTTTGTACCAAAATAGTCATATAATATAAAACTATGCTGAGAGTCTTTACAGTTAATGTGTGCTGTGTTCTGCTGCTCCTCCCCTGTCTGTGTTGGAGTATGGCACACACACACACACACTACAGATGTGTTTTTACATGCATTGTGCCATGAAACTGACCAAGCACTCCTACTGTTGCAGCACTGTTAACTGTGCAAGACATCAGCTGATCTGCGAAAGTATCACTTTCCACCTGTCTGCTGCCACCACTGCACCCTGCACCCATTTTTATGAAGGTGATAAAATAGTAACACGAAGGCTCTGTTATCTTCACCAAGACGGCAAACTCTTTGTTGCCTCCCACACTTTTAACTATAGTGCATTAAAGCTTCACTCCTTCTGTTATTAGCTTTCACAATAAAAAGCACTCGACATGTACGCTGCATCACTGCTGTGAATTTTGCTCAGGCCTTTTTTTTTTAAAAAAACAGATTCAACATAATGTGTTATTATCACAATGAAATGGACTGAAACAAATATACATCTTACAAAAAGTACAAGTAGAGGAAAAAATCGTTACAGCACAGTATTGCAATATTTTCATTATATAAATTATTAATATTCCAAAAACAAATTTAACTTTAGGCAGCCTGCTAATATAATATAATCAATTGGTTTTTTTGTCCACTAGATACATTTTACTGCTGCTGCTGCTGCAAAAAAAGGCTGACGTGAGATGAACAGACTGAAAACTTTTTTATCTTACTAGATAAAAAAGTGTTCCTTTGGCAACATAATTTACAGTTGAAAAAATGTAATAAATCCCAATATATTTTACCGCAATGCTCAGCATATTGCAACACATTTAAAATCGTATCGTAAATAATATCGTATCATAGATCCTCTAGTGATTCCCACCCCTACAAGAAAACAATATATTATTTTGACCAGCAAAAAACTAAGCTTGACCAATGGATTTTTCGTCTACCAGTTCCCTTGGCCGGTGAGTCAAAGAGTTAATGTCGGACCCTGGCTCTGCAATATATCGATATTATATCAATATCGTAATAAGAGACTAGATATTGTCTTAGATTTTGGATATCATAAGTATTGTCTTTTCCCTGTCTTAAAGGCTGCAATACAACAAAGTAACGTAATGTGCTGACTGTTCAAATGATATCACTCTTCTAGCTTACTAAGTCCTTATATCCACATTACTGATGATTATTTATCAAAAATCACATTGTTCATTGTGTAAATATGTCGTTAGAGCACCAATCATCAACCTTACAATATTGTTGCAAAATCAATATCATGGTATTTGGTCAAACATTTCATAATATTTGATTTTCTGGCAGTTATCTTAAACCACCACCATATCACTGACAGGTAGTGGTGATAAAACTATCACAAAAACCGCACAACATTACAGTAAAACTATCATTAGGTGCTGTTTTACAGATCAACTGCATGAAAAAAAAAGTAACACCTACTCATGTGCAATAAGCAGACACACACAGTACATGCTGATTACCCACGCTTAACAGGCAAACCTGCATTTGGATTATGGGCAGTAAAGTAAGATGATACAATGGTGTTCGCTGGCAGTTGGCAACTGTGTGTAGAATGGCAGCAATGGCAGCAGCACCTGGGAGACAGGCAAGCTGGCCTCGAAGCAACAGTACAGTCAGGATGACGGCTTGTGTCTTTCATTATTCAGGAGAACAGGAGGAGAGGCTGGGAACCACTGGGTCACACAGCGGGACAACGTTACAGCCAGAGGTATAATATAAAGTGACAGCAGAGGATGAAGTTATAGTGAAGATTGTCACGTAGGATTGTACTTTACATACCATGATATTATATGTGAAACAGGTAGAAAGAGAAGGAAGGGAGGAGTGTTCTGTGCTTTACTATTACTGCGGCATTTGCTCCTACACATTACAGCTGGAATTAAAAGCGGTCACCGTCACGCACGGTCTAGGACTGCTCTGTACCTCTAACACACACCCCAACACACACACACGCAAGACTATGTGTGAGTCCATTCTACTGTCTTTGTCAGGGAGCTAATTTGGAGCTGGTAGGACCTTGAGCCAGGCTGGTACTGTAATCATGAGTATGTATCTGCCTCAAACAGAATGACCTATCATCTACGCTTTGTTCTGTTGGTTTGGGCTTGTGTGTGTCCTGCATTTCTTTCAACATCCACAAATCTACCTGCACACAGAACAACAAGGTACCGATGGAGAGCAATACAAAGATGATTCATCAGTAGTAGAAGCATAATACTTTAAAGCATCATGGAACACTGACACAACATAATAAATAGCCTAGATGGAAGATTTAACAATGGAGTGGCAAAGCGCGGCCTGCCGCAAGCTGCCATGGAATATCTATGGAAAGCTGCAGCCATTTGATGCTGCTGCAACTTGCTGCCAAACTAAAAGTGGAGGATAGTTTAACTTTTAGCTGCGGATTACAGCCAGAGAATCAGTACACAAAGTCCGGTGCCTCCTGTAACATGTTAGCCTATGTTACAAATGTTTTTTCCCGCCTGAAACACATACACACGCCTCTCTGCCGCAGAAAAATGGAATTATTGGTGAGCTGTGCTTCGCCGCTGCTTGGTGTGTTTTCAGCATAACAGCACAAACAACCAGGGCAAAAAAATGTCATTAGTGTCTTCATCAGCTAAGAAATTTTCAGTCAGTTTCTAGATCAGTTGCTTTTATGTTTGTTTTGGGGTCTTCTAATAGGGAGTGAGATACTCAACAGTCATTACTAGAAAATTACATCTCCCATCTGTAGCAGCAAAATAATGGTTTGCTTTGGTCTTTATTAAACACTAGATTTGAAGTGATCTCTCTGTATGACAGTGTTTTCCTGCTGAGGGGTGAAACTATTAAGGAGACAGAGATTTGAAACCTTACAACTATTAGTCAACAAAGAATTAATTCCAATCAAAGGCAGCCCTTCAACAAATACAATAGAGGAATGAAGACCTGCTGAAAGCCCATTCTACTTAATTAAAAGTTTTGCCAGCAGCCAGGATATTTATTTAATTCAGCAATGGGCAGCATTTAGAGCACACTGATTCTGTCTATGAATGTACTTGGATCCACACCCAGGAATGTGTAGCTCACAAATCTGCTGACTTAATGAGTACAACCCTGAAGCAGCAAGGTTTCCTTCCTGTCAGTCATGTAAGCTGCTTACATCAAGAACGCTGCTGCCTTTGTGTAAATATTACCTCTGTATAACACATTAACACTCACAAAGCAGTTGCATCTCTGGTGGAAACAACTGCAAGTGAACAATATTCATTTTACTACTGTCGAGTGGAGTCATGTGACCTTTTTGGTTGAATTGCTTTTTACCTGGCCCTTCTGGGAGCACACTATGGAGCTGTTCAGGGGTTTTCAGACATCCCAGTACTGCACTTTCAAGTTAGCCAGAGATATAGTAGGTGAGAAAAAGGCTATCAATATGTCATGGTCTCTTTTGCTGTCTGATGTAACAAAAACATCTCTCACTGACTCACAGATCTGGGCTGGTTTCTTTGGCCCAACTCTGGGAAACCCCTGTATCATGCTTTAAGATCAGTCAGTGAAGTCTATTTCTAGTCTGTTAGAAGACAGCATGGTCATCCACATGCTATGTTCACTGATAAGATCTACAGAAATCAATTCACATCTTGCTAGTAAGGAGCATCTTAGAGGTGCTGTATGTAATTCTAGAGATGAATACTTGATTGTTGAGTCTCATTTCCCAGGTCATCAGATACCAGTGCTTTGGGTTGGTGGTTCAGTGCGACTACCAACCCAAGGTTGTCAGTATTTGACAACCACTGTTAGGTTAATGTATTTGAGAAGAAATGGGTAAATGAGGTCGTGCGCTGTAAAAATGAAAGTAGATAAGAGGAAGAGTCAGAGATTACTTCTGTCTTTCCACCTAATGCCCCTCATTCCAGTGCCTTACGCAATCATGCAAGCATGCTCCAAAACCCCAGCTGCTACCGTGTGTACCATTTTCATGTTTGTGCTAGCAAGCTGGCTTTGAGCTGTCCTCAAAGCTACAGCTGCAAATATTTAAAAAAAAGAAAAAACATAAAATGATCAGTTCTGGCCCGTAGTAGCCTGGTGTCTCTTACTTTAAGGCATTATCCCAGGCTAAAGCACAGACCTGTACTTTGATCCCACTGTCTATGGTCGGATCATATGAGCCTTGTTTTCTCTGCAGTATGACTGCAGTCAAGCAGTGGGCATTAAAAGCCAAACTACACCAGGTCCAGCTTCGATCCGTCTCCATTCTGCCTGTTGGTCATAACATATCTTACTTAATCAATGTATCCAGCTGGCTAAATGTGCAGCCACTTAATGGATCTGGAAACACAGGCAAGGGTGATAATGCTCTTTTGTTTGTCTACCCCTGGTCAGCAGCTTATCAAAAACTACAGGAACAGATTTTAAAGTAGTTTGTTGGACATTTACACCTCAGGCTAAGGGACTGTTTTAAGCTTGGATTTGGAGCAACATCTTCACCATGTCATCATCTATAATGCACATTACTTTTTGGCTTATAAATATTAAATTGTAAGACACAGAAGCAACTTTTCTTCCCCTTAATTCCTCAGTTTGGTGTCTGCCGCTCCCATTTCTGTCAGATTTTCCTGTTATTCTGAATTCAGGCACTTAAATGATGAACTTGGAAAAGGTTAGTCATTCATGTTTACAACACTGCTCTGTAAATGGTGTCCAAAATCTTGTATTCATGGCCAATTTGACATAAAATGCCATCACTCCGTACCTGAATGCACTGAGCAACTGCAAGCGAATTTTGAAGACATGCACAATATCTGCCTGTAGCTTTCCAACAAAATTCTGGAGCATTCTGCCATTACAATATATATCACTACAGTCACATATTTAATTTGAAAGGCCATAGGTCATGAGTCTGAAACACAAATGCAAATTTCATATTTGCACAATACACAGAAACCTGAATATTTCCAGACAGGATATAAGTAATCTCAGGAAATCCCATCTGCCTTCAGCCTGTTGACGTCACTGTCTTAGATTATGTAACCATATCTGTATTCTGTTATAGTCTAAGATCCAGATGCAGGATAAATATTCTCCATTATCAAAATAACAAAAATTAGAGGAATATGGAGCCTCGGTGGGGGCGTGTACTCTCTCCCTGTGCTTTGAAGTTTACACAAGTCTTCTATCTTTAGAGGATCACACATCTGCAGCTCTGCATATCAAACCCACTGGGCCGTTTGTCTGTACATTTACAAAATCAACCACAGATCAAAAAGCATTGTAAGAGACATTAAAAATAGTCTTTAAAACTCTGATTTTTACAGCCTCTTAAAAGCACGTTATCAACTAGTCCTCGGGGTTTAACTTGTAATGTAAACAACAGACACAAATCACAGTGAATACACAAAAAGACAAACAGTTGTTCTGTCGTATTTGTCATTCAATAGACTTGAACCATTTAGAATAAAAATATGACGCAGCAATTTGTGTAATGGGAATTAGTGAATTAGTGAAAATCAACCGACATTATGTTTTCATGGTGATAAAGAATGCCATTTTCTTTTGTCTAAATAATGAGCGCATCTCTTCTTACTTCTCGCCATCTTGTTCCTTCTTATCCATCCTTGTAACTACAGTGAGATCTCAACAAAAGACTTTATCCACCACCATCTATTGGCCCACCGGACCAGCAACAACAGGGCACCTTCGTTTTACTGTGCATCATTCAAACTCCATTTAATTATACGTCTTTCACTTTCTGTCAATGTGTCAAGAGCGAAGCATGCAACATTCAGAGGCCAAAACCAATAGCATGGAGAGAGAATGATTCTATATTCAATGAGGCTCTAGCTTCATGCTCACTCATTTGAACTGATGCATTCATGGCTGCTGTAAGTTAGGTGTGCGTGTGTGTATGTGAGTATGTCAGGGTCTGGCCTATGAGCCCTGGGGGTCAGCGTGAGTGTAACTGCATTGGACATGATGTCTAGTGTTCTTCAAATACCCTCTCAGACACAGAAAGAAAACACCAGGCATAGAAACTGTGGCCCTGTGGCAACGTGCAAGGGTTTTGCTTCACAACCTACTCTGTCCTATGCTGTTGAGCAGATATGACCCGAGGTACTCAGCTCGCCTGTTTACATTCAAATAGCCTTGATCTGGGGTCAGTGTAAGGGGAGAGGGGGGACAGAAATGAACAGAGCAATGAATTACTGCGCTATAATCTAGGGAACCGATGGAATCAGACATGAGTGAGGTGAGGGTGTCTGTATATCTATAAAAAAAAAAAAAAAAAAAGGTAAAAATGTAACAACAACATCTACAAAACAAAACACCATTTTGCTAATAGGCAGCAGGAACAGACCAAGCCCAGATTTGGCAGCCATTAGACAGACTCACAGTGTTCTCAGCATGAGGGAATGGTGGCATGAAACAGAGCTGCTCAAGAATTTACTGTGAGCCTGCATTGGCAGAAATTAACTAATGCATTCACATTACTTTTGGTGTGAACTAGGGTCATAAAATGTTTACGAATCAGGTCCTTGTGATTGGCAGGGCGGCGACAACCTATGTGGTCATCAACACAGCAAAACTCATGACATAACTGTTTCCATCTGGAACCAATCTTTAACTGAAAGACTCTCCTGTCTGGTTTCTGTTATGTAATGAGAAAGTGCAAGCACATTTTCTCACCTTGCAAACTTTTAAAGCTTCGGGTAAATACTATCCTAGAGAATGTAACTATGTCATATGTATATATGGCTTTTGAGGGGTTTGCCATATTAGATGTGATGGAAGATCATGCAGCTATCAATAACGTCACCATCAGTCATGTTCTGCTCACAATACAAGAGCTGACTCAGGATGCAGTTATGCTTTCTACTGCGCTCTTGAGTTTTTCCTTCAAGCAATCTATTTTTAAGGAAAAAGAGACAACATTTGTTGGGGGTATGAACTATTGTGCAGCTTGTCCTACTTGCCACCACAACAGAGGCTCTAATATCAGCACACAGGTTCTTCCCATGTCTCATTGCATTTAATGGAATAATGACAGAACCTCTCTGTCCTGTCAACTTGAGGCACAAAGAGAAATGTTGGGAAGTTGCCAGACCTCAGACAGACAGAGAGTATATAGCCCAAAGAGGTGAATGAATAACAGGCACATGATTTGGCTCAAGGTATAGTATTTGATCAGCATATGTGCAAAAGACTAGATGGCATGATTTGAGCAAATCTAAGTGTATTATATTCCTCAAAATGATGACAGATGACACCACGTTTTTGAATATGTCATATCCAGCACCAAAACACAGCCATCCAGCCCTCTAGCTCATGTATCCATATATGGCTCTCTACGTCATGGCTGGCGCAGCTGATGCTAGGATGACAGCGAGCTAATGATCCGTGAGGAGGATTTAACGCCAAATGGTAGCGAGCTTAGCTAGTCCTGCATCCAAACTAAACACAGCATTTTATCCCGTGGCGGTGCGCAATATTATCCGCCCATATCCACCTGAAATGTGCACTGCGAAAATTTCACCAGAGCGTGTCCCATTGCAAATATTTGCCAATAATGTTATGGCTGCGCAAAGGGATTCCCTGGCTGTAATTCTAATGTAACGAGATGCAGCTAAAGGTCATTTGAGTGGCTAGCGTTATCTATCTCGGAGCGATAAATAATACAACGCTCCCCTAAAAGGACAGATGCTGACATTACCGTTGAGCACCTACTCGAGGATGTTAGCTTGTCAATGTCGGGAGTGACTGTCAAGGTAAACGACAGAGGGTTTGTGATAAGGATGCCCCGAGCAGTCTCGACTCACTGTTTGTGAATCCCTCGGTGCGGCAGTGTGGCTAGCACACCGCTGCCCGGCTAGCCAGCGCTTTAGCTCGCTAGCCAGCCTCGTTTACAGCCAATAGAACGATAGCTAGCTAACTACCCAGCTAGCTAGTCAGCCGTTAGCTTCAACGGGTGTCATCTCGAGCACATAATATCAAAATAAAACCTCACCGTGAACGGAATGTCATTCACGCTTCCCACCGAATAGCAGCAGTCTCCAGGGTTTACAGCTCCCGTCAGCACCTGATGCAGATGCATTTTCCTTATATTTTAGCAGCAGATGGTGGGGCTTTTTTTAATTATTAATAGCGAGTCCACCCTTTAGGTTTCTCCATCTAGCAACGACTGGGAATTCCATCAGTAGCGTTAACGTTGTCCTCGGCCCGGCAGCGTCGTCTTCCAGCACAGAGGGAAAAGGTTGCGGTGAATTGGTGTTCGACCCGTGTGAATGTATCTTCAACTGGCCCTGTCAGCTATTCAAACATGTACAACGGGCCGCCCGTCGCCTCTCGCTGTCAACACCATCCCTACGATTAATCGTGAGAGCAGAGGCAGTGGGATCTCTGCAGCGAACCTGACATGCGCGTTCCCGACGTTGTCCAGGCACGACTGAATGGCCATAGAAATATGACATCTAGAGTGGGAACACCTACTACTGAACCTCACTCAACTCTCACTCAGGCCATATTTCTCAACTAAAAACACACGTAACTACGCTGTCGTATCCATTCTTTAAAACTACCTAAAAACGCATTCTAATGATCAACCATGCTTCCTTCTGGTGCACTGTATAGCTGATCTAGTATTGCTTTTCTATGTCTACGGCGCGCCAGTTAGTAGAGCACCCCTCTGTCGGCGATTTGAGTTCATTGATCATAAACGTAGGATCTGGGGTAAAACCAAAACTGATAGGGCAGTAAATTTGTCTGTGACCGGAAATAAGTTACTGACTGAGAATAGAAGAAAACTGCAGACATTAAAAAAAAACAAAAAACGCTAAAATGCATTAGGGAGCAGCCTTACTGTAAGAGTTACTAATGTATGGAGCTGTATTATTGTCTTATATCCCTTATATCCTCCTTAGACTTTTGTTTATTAATATGCATTTTTAATTTCTCCTAGCTATTTGGGACCAGTAGGACCCAATAAGTATTAAAAACTTAACACTGTTAATGATAATCAAGTGCCAATGTCCTCAAATGAGATGACAATAAAGTCTCAAAGTCTTCAGAGGAGTACTTAAGTTACTAATTAACAGTGTCCTAGCTTATTACTGTTGTCAAATTTGTTATCATATCAAACTACGAACATTATTACATACATTAACAGACCATTCAGCTAACTATCTTAACCATATGTGTGCTATGTGTAGGTATGTAAGTATGTAGCCTATGTATGTGTGTATCTATGTACATTTGTATGTATGTGTGTGTATATAACCATGGCGTATATTTACTTTTTTTTAACATAACCATGTCATCTTTATGATTACTATGTAAAACAGATATGTGGTGCAATGGGCAGCATGCAGTTTGTTAGCTGATGGCAGTCTGTACATGTACTGTAGGTACTGAGTGTGTGTGACTGTGAATAGCTACAGCTCTGTGTATGGACCGTATAGATGTAGGAACTGTATGTATAACTGTTTTCTATCTTTTAACTCCAGGTACCGCATGTATCCAAGACAAATTTCCTTTGGGGCAATAAAGTCAGTCTTATCTAATCTTACATGAATTTTTTTTTTTTAAATTGACCAAATGGTTTCCACATACAGTATGGTCCACATCTGCAAATGAGATCAAGCACACACTTACCCCTGGTCAAAAAATGTCTCTACAGTATTTTTTCTTTTCTCTTTTTAAGTTACATTTTCAGTAGTAATTTGCAGTGTAATATAAATACACAAACAAAAAACTACTTCACCCCCATCCATAAGAAACAATTATGTTGAAGAAGATTACTGCACAAAACCGTATTTAATGTTAAACTTAAGGAGGGGTCAGAGTTCCCTGTGTGCACAGTTAAGATCTGGCAATTGAAGTAGGCAGGTATAAAGGTATCCCTGAAGAGCAGCGTATATGTGTTTTGTGTGATCTTGAAGCTGTTTAAGATGATGTGGCAAATAAACAAATCGAATCAAATCAAAAATCTACATTTAAAGCTAATTTTTCTGAACATTACAGTTGTGCATGATATCCAAATGTTTTAACAGGCACAAAGGTAAAACCACAGGCCAACCCTTCCATACCAACACCACTTCTCCACTCCTCCCAGCTCCCTCCACCCGCAGAGACCCATCACTCATCAGTCACTTGTTGTTCAGTGCGTGTTATGGTTTGAACTGTTGTGCTAGATTTGTGACTGCAAGATATGATATGAGGGTTTTCCAGGTTTTACTGAATTGTAGGAGCCTGTCTTTCAGGGCACATCTTATCCTTTCTAAACGGAGTGTGTTAGTTAAACCCTCTAGCCACATCTTAAAGGTATAGGGACAGTTGTGCTCTTCCATAAAATGAGAATTAGTTACTTTGCCGTTATGAGGCAATAACAGAGAAAACACTGCTGTGTCGCGTTTAGCTTTCTGAAAGTCTCAGATATTCAAAGCTCTGGCTTGATCATAGTGTGTATCATGACCTCAGACATAATGCCACAGATATCAATCCAAAAAGATTGAACCTATGGACATAAAGTAAAGCTGTGTAGAAGTGTTGCCACAGAAGGTTGGCATTTATCACAAGTGGGCGACACCTCTGGGTACACACATGAAATTGTTGTGTTTATGATGCATGTGAAATTACAGCTATTTCCAACCTACATGGAGATCACATTATGAACTGGTTTGCATCTTTACATCCACGGGCTGATTATGAGGCAATAGGCCCCTGGGTACGGATGCACAAAAGGCCCCTCCACCTAAGATAAAGTAAAGCTTTGATGTCCCTGAGGGGCAATTTGAGAGATAGAAAGTAAAATAAACAAATAGTACGAACAGTACATACCTAATACACAGTATCCAGTATCACACACTGTCAGGGGTAAATCATGGACATTAAGGGTCACTTAACTGTCAGTTACTACAGATACACACAGTTATTTAACAAGGCACGCTGTTGGAGGTTGTTTTACTTTATCAAAATTCAAAACTACATCAGTCGAACATACAATAATATACCAAGTGATGCAAGAATGGAAGTCACTTCCAAATCATATCATACAACAAAATGATATATGTTGTTTAAAAAAAAAAATGCTAAGAAAGCATTGCTGGAAAATAAACTGTACTACTTACTAGTATTCTTTGGTGTGTAAATGTTTTGGGCATTTTTTTCTATTGTATGTTAAATGATGGTATTTATGTGTTAGATTATGATGGATTCAGTCCGAGCTGTCAACTGTTAGTGTTTCTTTTACAGTGGATGTGCATTATGATGTGTTATTTATTGTGTTGTGTTGTGTTGTGTTGTGTTGTGTTGTGTAGTGTGAATGTATGAGAGAGCCCAGGAAGAATAGCTGCTGCAATGCCAAAGCTAATGGGGATCTTAATAAACAAACAAGCAAACTGCTGGTTAAGATAAGCGATAGCAGACGGGACAAAGGACGATCTGTAACGCTTTGTGCTGCATTTAGGGAGTTGAATCCTCCACCCTGATGGAACATCTGAAACTCAACATGGATGTTGAGACAACTGACCGAGCTTTAGAGGTGACTCTTTCTTCATACAGATGCTGTAGGTTATTAAAAGTAATACCAGTGATCTTGCAGCACAACTTTTCCAACTCATTCTTGTTTTTAAGGCTCAAATTAGCAAACCAACAGACAACGTTAACAGAAAGAACGTACTAGATAATAGCAAAATAGAACGCTTTCATGATTGTCCTATCTACATCAGAACTCGTCAGCTTCCTTAAAAGGAATGGGTGATGCTTTGCCTTCTTACAGATGCCGTCAGTGTTCACATCAAAATTCAACCTTCCCTGCATACGAGCGAGACACATAGACTTTGTGGTGATACTGCCTCCTTTTCTGTTGTTTTACATCTCTTTGTAATCATTATACAGTACATCTTTTTGTGGTTTTGTGTCTCTTTGCAGTTGTTTTGCATGTGTTTGTGGTCTTCTCCTTATTTCAGGATTTGCTGCTTTACCTTGTCTTACATTATATTATATTAAATATCTTTAGGTTATGGACTAATAGTCAAACAAAACAAGCAATTTGAAGGTGTCACTGTGGGCTCTGGGAACAACATAAGCCTACAACATAAGATTTGAAATGCTGTGACAATGATGTCCACAGCTGTTTTACAGAGAGTAGAGCATGGGTGGGTTAGATCTTGCTGAGGTTCACTGTAGCTGAAACTCTCATCTCCTTATCATCCATCGTTCATCTGAAATTTAATGGATCAAATTAGCATACTGTTTATCCACTTCCACCTTTGTATCCCCTCTTACACATCTATTGTCACTCCCTCTCCTCCTTTGTTTCTATATAACTGATGAGAGGACTGACAGGGATCCATAGTGGTGATACACAACCAACCATCATGGCATTGGCCTAGTTATTTAAGCCACACTGACATCATCATGCAGGGCCTGCCTGCCAGCCACCATGACACACAGGACAACAGGACAGAAAATAGCAAGGCAGTAGCCCAGAGAGAATGTGACACATACACATAAACAGTGTCAACAACAATAGTGGGGCACACTCATCCTGTGGCATGTGTAATACTTTGTCCATTTAGCATTTGGTGACGGCCATATTTTGAATGGCGAGTGTCAGACTTTACAGATGTTCTCTACTCATAAAGTCGGCATTATGATCACAGAATCACTTAAAGACCAGTATAGTGTTTAGACTGTGCATCTTGCCCTTTGTAAGCCATTGTAAATCAGCAGCAAACTCCCTGGATGACTATATGGCCTTATGTAACCCAGATAACCATCCAGCAAATTGAAATTCACTGAAATCTTGTTAGAAATCTGCGTCTTTCAGCTCCTTTTGGCTTTGAATAATTTTGAAGGCCAGACTGCCGTGAGGGCCTGTGACTAAGACTGTGAGTGCATCTCCCCCAGCTAAAGTCTTTACCTTAAAGCACCTCTTCTCTGGCTGAAAAAATAATCTAGCTAATGTATCTCAAATGTTTTTAGGGTAGTTTGTGCTCCTCACCTCTTTCATCAGCCTGGACAAAAAAAAAAATTGGTGGGCAGGTTCATGTAGATTCAACACATTCTGGCAGATTCCAAGGAAGCTTATTCATGCATGCTCGTGATTATTCTTGACATGATGGAGGACATCCACTTTAGATTATTAAGAAACAGGGGATTCATCTCCTAAGTACCAGAGGTACTGTGCAAGCGGCCAAGAGTGCTGAGATCACTGCAGAGTGAACAGCAGGATGGGAGCCAGCCCAAACTGAGGGGGGGTCTGGGGGCACGCTTCCCAGTGGAGTTTTTTTCCCCCAGCTATATGTGGCAGGCATCTGTCCTATTTTTTCCAAGCATTTGAGATAATACAATGCCCTTAAGATTTGCACATCATTTAGGAAATGAATAATAATAATAACAATCCTGCAG